ATATATAGCATAGTTGAAAGCCTCTTCCACAATCCTTGAACTTTTTAAAGAATTTTTGTTGTTTTTTATTTTGTTTTGATTCATTGATTGATTTATGAGACAGTCTCACTATGTAGTGCAGGCTAGCCTTGAGCCCATAGTGATCCTCCGTCAGCCTCTCAGAGTGCTGGATCACAGGTGTGAACCACCATGCCAGCTCTTTAAAGGATTTAGCACTGATCAGCCATGCCTGTTTTGTGAACAAAGTATCCTGGTAGGCTGACCTAAAAATAATAGAGATCTGTGTTCCTAGTGAGAATAAAAACACCATAAAAGCTTCTAGATTTGTTTTGTTCTCTTAGCCTTGTTTTTCTTTTGGTTTTATAAAAGATTAAGAATTTGAAAAGCTTTCACTATGGTTATAAGTGGTAAATAATAGTTCCACTGAAATGCAAAATATCTAAATATGTAAGGTAGAGTTATACTAGTTATAGGTCAGTTCAACTGGCATTGGCAGGATAGCTTTAAAAATTTCAGCCTCATGTATTATGAACTACAGAAATTTGTATATGAGATATATTCTCTTTCTATATAATATAGTATATATATAAAGTAGTTTTTTCATTCACTCTTAGCAGCTAGCCAAAAAATGGGCATGATATCCTCGTATTACAGATAAGCAAATCTTGCTTTAAATAAATAACTTGAGCAACTCACACAAGTAGAAAACAGTGTCTAGCTGATTGCAGATTCTGTACTCTTGCCATGATAGCCATGTGGCTGCAGTAGGTGCATCATGCATTGTGCTAGCTCTGTGCTTGCAGGTATGACTATGGCTAGCATCCATTCTGTAAATTTTAAAATGTGTGCTGTTGATGTAACTAATGTAAATATTTATGAGATTTGTCCAATAACTGATGTGTACATGCCACATATGTACAAGCTTGTTTATGCTTGTCTTTGAAAATATTAAAATGTATGAAACTTGATGTTATTGATCTTACTGATCATAATTAGCCTGTCAATGTTGATGGAAAAGCAATGCAGAACTCATAACTTTCTCCTAAAGATTTCAAGTAATTAATTAGAAATTCTTTGTGTTTTGTCTTTGTCCTTTTTGAGATAGCATTTCACTATGCTGTTCAGGCTGGCCTCAAACTTCTTAGCAATCCTCCTGCCTTGGCCTTTCCATTACTCAAGTCACAGGCTTGTTGCAGTTTTAAACTTCAGGAAAAACCATTCCTATAGGGTTTTTCTCTGGCTGGGGGTGTGTACACAAGATAAAAACACAGACTAGTCTATAAAACTCTCTTGCTTTCTGTTTGGGGAAGGAAGTGAAGGTTGACCTAAAATTTACTTATAAAATGACATGCCACAATCTTTTTTCTGAAATATAGCAAATTATTTTATCTTAGTTCAGCAATAAGTATCATTATGAAGTGTATCAGTGGCACAGCACGTGCATACGTTTATGCATGAAGATTTGGATTTAGTCAGAAGTCCTTCATTTCCTCAGCATCACAACAAAAAAAGCAAAACAACGTCAGTATCATTTTTAAAGTATGGATAATCTTTAACTATAAACATTTGACTTACAGTTTCCTTTCATAGCATTGTCTCCACCTAATAGTGCCGTAGTACCCATTTTCCAAAACTGTTACCTGGTGCTAGACATTCATTTTCCTTCTTTCTTCTCATCCTCATTACTTTTGTTCTATTCCTTCCCAGCCAGGCCCCAGTTTTGTCCTATTAATGACACCATTAACTTGTCTTGTCAACCAGAAGTAAAGTTTCCAGAGGGAAATACTTCTAAATTTTTATTTTAGTTTTAAAACAAAAATAATTGTACATTTCATCTCTTCCTTTTTAAAATCACTCCCACAGCCCCCATCTTTATTTCAACTTGTGGACAGAAAGTAAAAGTGAAAATACTGTCTGTTTACAAGATTTCTTGATAGAGCTTCAACACACATGCACACACACTGTACCTTCACCTGTGGCCTTTGCTCTTCAGAAAGATGGAGATAAAGGATCATATTCAAAACCTTAGTTTCTGCATTCATGGCTACATTTCAGTACAGAACATGTATGCCCGGCCCAGGTAGGAGGCTGCTCTATTTCCCAGAACTTAACCATAGACACTATCATTTATTTTGCCACCATAAGACAGCCATTAACCTCTAAGGAGAACTTCAGAATGTGGAAAATTCTGCTGTAAACATAAGATGTTGATTGGTTGGTTTATACATGCTGCCCAAACATGATGCTGTAAATCTTGAAGTGAAAAACGTCAGCCAGCCTTGGTCAAAACTATTTTGTACCAAAGTTTCAAGCCCTCCCCCTTTTATTGAAGTATAACACACCAGAAAATCCAGAGCCTGCAGCTCAGTGAAAGATCCCTTCTCAGCACTCCAGGTCTCCTGTGAAGGTTGAGTTTCCCTTATATGAAATACTAAGCATCAGAAATGCTTCACATTTTGGAGTTTTTTAGATTTTGGAATATATGCATGGACTTGTAAGGCATCCTAATCCAAAATCTGAACCCTTTTACGTGTCAGGTTTGTACTGTTTGAAATTTTGGATTTTCAGAGTAGAGATGCTTAGTCTGCATTAGTTTTAAGACTTGTAATAAAAATATCCCAATTCAAGTGACTTAAAACACCAGAAATTTTTTGTTCCACTGTTCTAGAACCTGGAAGTCTAAAATAAGGGTGTCAGCAGGGCCATGCTACCCTTAAAATCTTTCTACGTTTTATTATGACATGGAGCTTGCTCTGTATATCTTGTCCTCTAAGCATGGGTCCCAAAACTCCAGCCCATAGAGCAGTACTGTCTGGCCTGTTAGGAACTGTGCAAGTGAAATTTTATCTGTATTTACAGCCATCCCCCCATTGCTAACATTACTCTCTGAACTCCACCTTGTCAGATTGGCCCCTTGGACTCAGAGACAGGGCTTTTGAAAGGTTATTGGATTATGTGTGTGTGTGGCGGTTATAGCTGGCTGGCTGTCAAGAAGCAGGGCCTGGTGGGAAGAAGCTGGGCACTCCCTAACTCCTCTGTTCCCTCTGTGCTTCCTGACCACCATGAGGTGAGCAGCTTTTCCTCCGCCATGCCCCTCTGCTATGCTGTCCCACCTTAGTGTTTCCTGACCATGAATTGAAATGTGAGCCAAAATAAACCTTTTCTGTAACCTGTGGGTGTCTGGTTGTGTCTTAGAGATGAGAAAGTGACAAAAACAAGTGGCATTAGGTTCTCATAGGGGTGGAAACCCTACAGTAAACTGTAACAATTGTAGGTTCCACTCAACCAGTTCACCCCGTTCTGCCACAACAGTAGCGACGGAATTTTTAGTAAATGTCATTCTCCCGAGTCAGTGTACCTGAGCAAAGACATTGTTTGGGGTTTTTTTTTTTTGTAATTTTTGTTTTATGAAAAAGTAAAATTTCATAACAAAATCATGAGAGTAACAGTAGTTAGTGCACTGTGTATCATTATCTTCAAAGTAGTTACTCAGAGTACAAGACATAGACAAGATTCTCTCTTACAAAGAAGAAATAAACAGGTAATAGCACAAAACTTCCTTTTCAGTGAACTGAAAGAAACTGATAGTATAAATGAAACAAATTAGCATATGTGTTGAGATAATTTGGGAAATTATTTGAACTTCTCTCTACTTCCCATTTATATATTTGGATATTTTGCTCTTTTATATGTGTGCATGTGCATGTATTTTTTTTTTTTTTTAGTTCCTCATGTAACAGAAACCTGTGCCTGACTTATTTCACTTGACATGCTGCTTGTAAACAATACCACAGACTAATTTATACTGATCAAGAATGTATTGACTCCTGGTTCTGGAGGCAGGAAAGGCCGAGATCAAGAGCTGCCATCTGGGAAGGGCTTTCCTGTTGGCAAGGGCAAGAGAAAGAAAGTCTGCTTCATCTCTTCATAATGAACCCACCCCGACAGCAGCACCATTCATCATCTGTAGGGCAGAGAGCCCTCTTGGCCTAGTTAGGGGTCTCGTTAGGCTGCATCTCCCACACTGTTTCATTGGGATTTAAGTTTCCAATCCAGGCTTTTGGATGAGCATAGCCCACCTACAACAAGTGTATTTTTGAAGTATCCCTTCTTAAAATGAGCTAATATATTATTGTATCTTGCAGAAGTCATAATTCATCTATAAGAAGTACTACCACAAGCATTAATTTTTAAAGCATGTAAATTAAAAATAAATATAAATTTTTAAAGAACATTCTGAAAAGAGAAGAACTTTATAAGCAAGAAGTTTTTTTCTCTAAATCATCATTAAATTTTCAGGATTGTGTTTTTTCTAAGTGATTTCAAAAGCAATTATCTGGCTGGTTTGAATAAAGACAAAAGCCCCCTTTATGAACTAGTAATAAGCCCTTGTAGCTTGAGGGCCTGGACTAATAAGTAAACAGGCCGAGAAGGGTTTCCTGATTCACCCAAGGTCACACTGAGGCAAAGCCAGAATCAACCAGTTCTTGAACAGAACTCAAAGCAAGCAGAAAATTGTTTTATTGTGTGGTGGTGGTGTTTTAAATTCCAATCTTGAAAATGCTGTTGGTCCTTAAGTCAAATTGACTGTATAGATGATGTATTTAAATGTGATAAAGAAAAGACAAGAGTTTCATTGTCAAACGTGAAAAAGCCATAAGGAGGAAGTTCTTTTGTGTATCAAGTAATACTATATGATTACAAGTTGTATCTAGATTTTCAATGGAAGATATACAGTATATAAGTTTCTATGAAAGCGATTTGAAACCAAATTTTATTTACACTTTAGATATACTTCATCAACCTCCTCACTTTGTATAAAACCTCTTAAGTATAAAAGGTAATTTAATTTTGTTTTGTAAAGAGAATAGGCCTATGATCTGTCCAACTTGCTGCTAATGTCATACAGAATCCCAGAAAGGACCCAGCACTATGAATATGTCTTCTTCAGAAGGATTGATGAATGTGTAACATGTTCTCTTTCTCTTCTTTTTTTCTAGCCAAGGACCCTTGTCATCCATTAGAGCGGTAATCAAAAGATGTAAGTTTTTTTTTTCTTGCTCTGTATTTTTGTTTGTAGTACCTTTAAATGATGGTTTATATTTCTAGCAAGTGTTTGGACTTGATGAATTTACAAAGAACCCAAGAAAAGTGGCTTCTTGTAAGAAGTGTTAAGTATTGCAAATAGCTAGTGTTTTTACCTTTCATTTATTGAGAAGTGAACTCCTTAATACAATACCTTTCTCTTATAAAATGAAGCCATTTAAACCCAAAGTTGGCTTTGTAGTTAGCATCTATGATATACCACTTTATGTAGCTATCTTCTAAAGTTAGACATATCTGATTTTAAACCCTGTACTTTTTTATTCATTTCTTTTCTTGAATTTTATTCACAATATTTTTCAAAGTTGTGTGAATACATATGAAGACAGGTTCATATGCCCATCTGTAAGAGAAGTGCTGTGAAAAGTCCTTCCAAAAAATGACACATTTATACTTTCTGCCTACCTCCTGCTTAAAGTTTTAAAATTTGCTCTTTGTATAGGATTTCAGGGATACCTTAAATTGCTTTTCTTAAATAAAAGCTCTGGAAAGGGGCCTTTTCTAAATAGAATATGAATTACTTATTATAGGAAAAACAGTACAAGTGGGATTTTAGATGGTCTCATTATTAAGGTGAGGTAACCAACCACACTAAGAATGTAACTCACTTTCAGAAACATAATTTTTAATATTTTGTATTAACTTAAGATATCTATAGGCCATTCCATTGAAAAACATACCGTGTTTCTTCATTCCATTTCTGTGTTGGTGAATTACAAAGATGTAGGATTGCCACAGTATATGATAAAGAGAACTCAAATATCAACATGAAAAATTCATGAGAGCGTTACATGTCTTGGTAAGCTTGTGATGGGGTTGAGAGGAAAGGAGGGGCAGGGAGAAGGAGTCACTCACCATGGGCCATGAATCGTGTCTCACTGCAAGGTGGCTCAGAAACAATGGCAGGGAGTACATGCGTGATGCTCCCATGGAGCAGCGCTGGACAGTTCCATTGGCTAGAAGTGGAAGCCGTGCCTCAACTTGAACAGTAAGGGGATTCAGGAGTTGGGACAGCGAGTTGGTAGGCTGCTTTTATGAAATTGAGAGGTTACAGAAGGAAGAGGGATGATAGTTTGAGAAGGCATCCAGGTCAAGTGAAGAGGAAATTTGAACCTGTTAGTAGACTGTTGAGGAGCTTGAAGATTTTTGAGGCACTGGGGAAGCAGTCAATGGAAAGCAGCCTCAGATTTGAGAGAAGAGGGAATTAGTGAAACAGCCCAAAGAAAGAAGCAATGAAACAAAGAGAAAGTTCTTGCTTTGATGTATCTGGTGGTTTTCCTTTCTGACTAACCCAGTTATCTTTTACTTTTTATATGTTAGTCACTTTATAGACCCTAAAGATATAGTTAATGTATTTATTTATTCCTAATGTTAGGCAGAAGAACCAAATAGATCTCTTATAATACCTGGTAAACATAAGCACAAAATGAGGAATATTTGTGTCAACCTCTTTTCTTTTTCCTTTTTGCCAGTTCTTTAAAAAGAAAAAAGTTATGGAACAGGGTATATGGTTCACTGATAGAGCTCTTACACAGTATATACAAGGCCCTGGTTTCACTTCTCAGCACTAAAGAAGAAAAAAAAAAGAAAACAAAAAAAGGAAGATTGGGGATTTAACTCAGTGGCACAGTGCCTGCTTGGCAAATGTGAGACCATGAGTTCAATTCCTAATGCCAAAAGGTGGCGGGGGTGGAGGGTTAATTTAAAAAAAAAGCTATTCCAGACGCAGTCATCTAACTGGCAAGAAGAGAGATTTATGTTTTTAAGGCAATGATATATATTTCAGATTCTTTCAAAATGATTCTATCACAAAGCAATGTGTAGAGTCAATTTTGCATTTGTTCTTGTGAACCTTAAATAATTTTGCTAATTTTTTGTTTTGTCCAAATTGGATATATCTGGAACTTCATATTCTTTATTTTGTTAACTTTTTAAGATGAAAATATTCTTCAATATCTAATACTGATTCCTGCCATAAAATAGCAAGTATAAATAATACTCTGAATGTGTCTTAGTTACTTTCTTGCTGGAAAAAAATACCCAACACAACCCAACAAGTTACTAATCCAGTTTCACACACCCATGGTCCAGTTACTCCCAAGAGCCCCACCTATGAGCTCATGAGGCTTGAGGGGACATCTTGCTATAAGCTACACCACCGTAGTAGATGTTAAATCTCTCTTACAGAAGGAGGGAAACTGAGTCCAAAGAGATAAAATGACTTCATGAGTTAGAAATGGGATATTAACCTAGACTTGTAGACTTTATAGCCATTGGACTTTCCGTCCAGAGCATTCTTGTTATCATGGCAAGTACATCTCATTCATGCCCCCACCATCCAAATGAATGCAGTCAGATTTTTTGGTGGTTGTTGTTGGTGGTGGTGGTGGTGTGTTTTTCACTGATAAGCTGGTTCTATAGCAAGAACATATATAATAATCTTATGTGTTATTTCTCCTAATTACTTCATCAATAATTTTGAATTATTTAGAACAGAGCTAGCATCCATCACAACTGGATCCATAGAAGCTAAGCAATTTTAAGAAATAAACTGCTCCTAGCCTTGCCCCTGATGGGTAGGGTGACTTTGGAATAATTTACTACAACTCCTGTATCTCAGTCTCCTCTGTGGTTTGAGTGAGATGATTCCTGGGCTTTTTCCAGGTTTATGAGTGCTAAAACTTGGGAGGATTCCTTACTGATTGTGATACTACAAATCTACGTCTCAACTCTAGCCTATCATGTTTTATATTTATTTAAAACTTAATCATTTAATCTAGGAAAGCTTGAAAAATAATTTTGTAGCATAATAGAATAACTTTAACTGAAAATTCTGCCTTTGTTCTCCAACATTAACCCAAAATGCACAAGGAACTAACTGCTTGAGGTTAAATGGTACATGAGTGTGTGCGGCAATTTTGATTCTCCTGGCAATCAGTATATCAAATCTGACTAATCCAGGAAAAGGAGAGTGGCGTGTATAAATGTATGTTGAGAAATCAGGAAGAGCCATGAGATACCACTTGAAAGTCTACATGAAGACCTAGTGTTTCAAGCTGTTAAATTTGCTTGACAGTGATAAAAAGTGAGTTGTTTTATGAAAATCAAGAGAGAGAAGAGAAATTATACTGAAGATGAGTAAATGGAGGGAGGGAAACAATTAAAGAAGGAGACAGCAGGGGCCAGGGATTAAGCTCAGTGGCATAAGCACCTGCCTGGCAAGCAAGGTCATGACTTTGATCCCCGGTATTCCCCGCCCCCCCCCCAGAAAAAAGAAGGAGAGAGCAGAGCAGTGAGTGAGATGGAGAAGAGAGTTTGCAGAGTGACTGTGAGACCGCGGTCCTCACCCTGTGGCATGGGCATTGAAAGGGGCAGCACCCCTCTGCTGCCAGAGCCAGGGTGGGGACTGTTACCGTCAAACCTAGAAAAGCTTTCTAGGCTGTTACTCTGAGAAGGGACAGAATCAAACCAAAGGCCATTGATTTAAAAGAATGTAAGTTGACTACTAACTTAGCTCTTTTAAGTATTGTTCACACTTTAAAATCAGTTCCTATTGAAGTAATAAATTGATTTCCCAAAACAGTCTTTAGGTTCCTTTGTACCATTAAAAACTACCAGCAGATTTTTTGAACTGTGGTTTACTTATGTGTTGATAATCTGGTCATCCAGACAAATCCTTTGTCAGCAGTGTATCTCTTTACCCTCTGAAGCCATGGTTCATCAGCCTTTTTTTTAATTCCATTTGAGTCTGCAGCATAGGGGGAACAGTGGTGTGGCAAGTCTTGCTCCTGAATTTCTTTTAGAGAGGATAGGTTCACTCTTTTTTCTCCCTTTCCTCTTCTATAACCCCTTCTTTTTTTCCCTTAGCACTCATGAATAGTGCACAGCAAAATGCCCCGTGGAAGAGGTATGTTTGTGACAATAACGTGAAGTCTTCGCTATGTGTGTTGATTCCAGCTTTAGTAATGGTGATGATGTGATTGTAGTACAGCCTGTGACACCATGAAATCATTCTTACCAATCAGATGCTCTAGCCTCTCTGTTCCCTTCTATTCCAGCAGGGTGTATCTCAGCTTGGCTTAGCTCTTGGTTACTGTTTAACAGCCAAGCCAGCTGATGGTGTAAAGGTAAGGGCCTCTTCCCAGTGGATCCAGGTGCTTGGGTTGTAAATGTTCGGGATTTGCACTATCAGCCAGCACAGGTGAAGCTGACACAGCTGTAATCCGGGCCAAAATTTCATTTCCAGGTCTCATCTGCCTCTCCCTCCCTCAGGTTAACAAAGAAGCAGAAATTAATAGGGAGAAGAAAGGAAAGATCCACACTTCCAATCTTCATATAGAACCATTGAAAAAGTTGTGGAGATATAATGAAAGCAACTGATTGAAATAGTTTCTGTCCAAAATAAGTTCATGTCTTATACAAGTCTTTACAGTACAGTACTTACCCTACCCCAGGAATCTTAGGAATGAGCTCTGTGGAAAAAGAGATAATACTCGTACTGCATAAAAATTGGTCCCATGTGTGACATATTTTCCAGATTATCTGATTTATCTGCTGTATAAAATAAAAGTCACAACAAAAATTTAAATCATTAAGCTTTTTGAGTTTGAAACTTAAGGGAAAAGTTAGTGCAATATGTGTGTTTCGAAGAGTGATTTGAACGGGGCTGGGGATTTAGCTCAGCGGCATAAGCGCCTGCCTTGCAAGCAGGCAGTAGTGAGTCGGTCCCTGCTACCGATTTTTAAAAAAAAAAAAAAAGTGATTTGAGCACCCTTTGCATTTATTATCTTCATTAATGAAACTAAAGCAGTAAGATTACTGAAAAGTTACAAAATACTTGAAAATTTAACTACTTATACTGTGTAATATAATTAAAAACAAATACTACAGGTCTAGTCATATAAGTGAAAAATAGATATTTTTAAGAATTTTATTTCCATGGCCATTTCATGTCTTTTTTTTTTTTTTTTTTGGACCGAGGATCAAACTCATGACCTCACACTTGCCAGGCAAGTGCTTATGCCGCTGAGCTAAATCCCCAGCTTAATGTTTCAAGCTTTTATATTTAACAGCTGCCTTTTTACTGTTCATCCTTCATGTTGTTTTCAGAACCACAGACTATGCTTTGGGAGGTTTTGAAATTATTTTTTATGAAATTCAAATTTATAATTAACCTTATTCAATATGAGATCATTTTTATTTACTTTTCTACTTAGAGGTGTTAAAAAGCATTCATTCTATATAATGTCCATTATATAAGATAACTTTCTCCAATTGTGTATTGTATAAAAATTGAAATCCTCACTGAGTGTTCTAATTTGATATTACACCAATTTATTCTTTATTTTGTAGCATCTCGGACTTCTATTCAGAGTGAACTTCATCGAGATAGGAGGTAAAGTTATATTTAACCATATTTGTATGTTACTAATAATTGAAATAAACATGTGTCATCTGTTAACAAGTTAAATAAGTGGTATTTTCCTGTGCTATGCTTTATCTTTACATGTCCTGATGAAGCTTGAGAAAAGAAGTGACAAAGGCCTGAGAATAGTCTTTTGACTGTCATTTACTGAATTCAATTTTTTTAAAATGTTGGTAAAACAACTGCTGCATGTAAAGCATTGTTGTAACTGCTTCAGAGAAATACTTTGTACCTCATGGGTACTTGGTAAATGTTACCTACATAGATAGATAGATGGATGGAGGATAGGATAAAAAGTTGATTAGAAAGGTAAAGGAAAAGAGACAGGCATCCTAGGTAAGGTGGGTGATTGTTAGAGGGAGGAAAGACTAGCTAGATAGATAGAGAAAAGGGCCAGTAGATGGTAGAAAGGTCAATAAGTTGTAGAATAGAGGAACATAGACAGGTAAATAACTGGATGAATAGTTTTGTAAGTCATGACTGATACTTTCAAATTTGTTACACAGAGCAAAGGATAATGACGAATATGTTCTTTAGACTCAGATGGAACCAAGTTCAAATCCTGACCACTACTTTCCTACCATGTGACCTTGGGCAAACCAACCTCTTTAGCTTCTTTCAATCTTTAAAATGGTGCTAATGGCAACTATCATGAGGTTATATATAGGTTAATGTATGTATGATACTTAAAATTTACTAATTTGTATCTCCTATTACTTAGACAGCAGCTATAAGCAGTGGTTCTTAGTTCAAGTTTCATCAGTGATGAGGTTCTAGTACTTGACAAGCTCACAGGAAGGTGTACATACATGCACAATTTTGCTAATGACAGTGCTTTTTCATTTTTACTTTCTATAGAGCGCTTAAGAAAGGCAGAGCAAATGTCATCATCTGTATTTGTTAGGTGAAAAAAACAGAAGCTCAGAGAAGTTGACATTTGCCCAGAGTCACATTTGGTGTTTGTTAGGAAATCAGGTTGAAGATAAAATTTAAACATAAAGATACGGAATCAGATTAAGAAAAGAAGCGATGCCTAAATCACTGCATATAAAACTGACTAGAAACACAGGTGTATATCAGGACCTAAAAATAAACATATAATTTTAAAACATCTCAAGGTAAACTTAAACTGGGCCAGAGATAAAGTGGGGAAGATGAAGATATTCTTACATGGTAATTTTAATTTTTGAGTATATACTTTATAATAACAAAACCAAGTGATCCCATTGACTCACTTTGCCTTATGCCATATGTTTGTGTTGTAGGCTATACAGCAGTCCTAGAATAAATAGACTGTATAGGCTTAAATTAGTGCTTATCCTTATCAGCCAAGGCACAGTGTGCTCAGACTGTATCTCTAACTTTTTGAGGCTAAAAATCACATAAAATGACTGCTCTCTGTTCCTTTATGCCTCTTTGGGTAAACTATTAGGAGATAGTTCAGGCCAGAGAAGTTACTCCTGTGACCCATAGTTCTTTTCACTAGTGTAGGTGGTAGTTGTTTAGTCAATCTGAACATTCACAGATAAACAATACCAGCTTGTCACCAATCTGTAAAACCTCACTGGGGCTTCTGTCTTGTAGGCGCCCGGAGATCACCATTGTGGCAGCGGAGCCTCTGAGGCCAGCCTCATGGTTCCCAGGAGGCCCACCCCCAGGTCTAGGATTTCCCCCGACTCCTACACTTGGCCCTTGGAGGCCAAATGAGCTGGTTCCTGCTGAGGTGAATTACATTTTATTTTTAAAATGAAATTCAGAAGCTAAAAACAAGGAGACTGTCAACACTTTGGCTGTTGTGCATAGCTGTCTGAAATTTTTTTTTTTTTTTGCAGCTCCCGCCCTCTTATGAACAAGTCATAAAAGAAATCAACCAAGTTCAAGTTAATACTACAAATAATAATAATGCTGCTGCCACTCCAAGGCACACTATCACTTCTGCAACTCAGACTGACTTTTTAGAAGAAATAGACAACCATCTGCCTCAAAGTAATGCCAGTAATTTGTCTTCCCTAATTCTGACCTACTTCTAGGGCAATAATCAGTAGGCTTCTAGCCTTTAAAATAATTTGTAATTTGTGCATAATTCAGTGAGCTCTGCTTTCATTGAGATCACTATGTGCTTTCTTTTTTTGGGTATGCAGTGATTATTATAATAGATCGTTCTTAAAGAGTTGCAACTTTAGTCTCTTCGGCTCACACTAGCTCAGATCACAAAAACACTGTTCAACTCCTGTTGCATATTTCCATAAGTGACCTTTATTTCCAGTGAGAAGGATTTTTTATTTAGAAACTTAGACTTTATAGAATACTAACAGTGATTGTTAGGTTTTTTAAAGAATAGTTTACAGAGTGTAACAGAGACAAGTAAGTTGGAAAACTAAAGTGTTAAAAATGTTAACATTTTGACAACCAGAAAGAAATGGTTTACCTGGTAAGTGAAATGAGAAATAAGAATTTAATGGTGTTGTAAGATATTACATGATGGCTGGGGATTTAGCTCAGCGGCATAAGCACCTGCCTTGCAAGCAGGCGGTCGTGAGTTCGATCCCCGGTACCAATAAAAAAGAAAAAAGACAAAAAAAAAAGATATTCCATGATGAATATTTATTACATGAACAAACACAAAATACAGGTTGAAGAACCCTCCTATGGGAAGCGAAGCATAAACATTTCCCCATTGATTTTGCTAATCAAGGAAATAACAATCTCATGCTAGCCTACAAGTATATTTTTAAATCTGTGTATTTTCTCTGGTTTTTGTTGTTGTTGTTGTTATAAATGATCATATTACAACTTCATTTTGTTTTGATCTTGTCAGCACTACAGGCACCTCTTAAGCCTCTGCAGCCTCCCCCAGCAGCCTCATGTGGCAATCTTCCAGCAAATGTAGCGCCTTTAATAGTCTTTGATATTTCTGAAGAACAGAATTGTCCAGAAAACACCAGTGTCACAAGATGTCCTGTGCCAAAACCAAGATCAAAAAGCAACCTCAGGCCAGTAGTTAGAGATACAAACATTAAAGAAAAAAGTAACCAGAAAATCAATCCAGCAGTCCCAGAAGAGGAGTCATCCCCAGGCCAGCCCCAGTCTCTGCTGGATAATAACGACTTAGATAGTCAGGCAGTGATGAACATTATGAACACAGAACAAAGCCAAAATAATATTGTTTCAAGGATCAAAGTGTTTGAGGGTCAGACAAATGCAGAAACCTTGGGACCGACCAAGAAACCAGAAATTACTCCCCGCACACTTCCCCCAAAGCCTGCTGTTTCCTCAGGGAAGCCTTCTGTGGCTCCCAAACCAGCTGCTAACCGAGCTTCTGGAGAATGGGACACGTGGACTGAAAACAGACTCAAAGTGATGCCCAGGGAGGGGTTCACCTCCCACTCTTCACCACAAGAAACAGGAAGCATCCCTGGAACCAAACCCGAATTGCCAAAGAAACCAACTCCTGGCCTTATACAAAGTGGTAATCATGAGGTTTCAGGAACAGGGCCCATCTTCGAGAGCCCCGGTGTTGTGAAGAAAATCCCAACTCCTGCTCCAAGGCCTTTGCTGCCGAAAAAATCAGCTTCCACAGAAAACCCTCCCTGTCCTTTGGCTCCACTTAAGCCAGTCCTTGTGCCTCCCCGGCCCTCCGTGGCATCCCAAGCCAAAGCATTCAGGTCACTGGGAGAAGGACCTCCGGCCACTCCCCCTGTTCCAGCTCTGCAAAGCAAGGCTGTAGGGGACATTGACCTCATCAGCTTTGATGATGATGTTTTGCCCTCTTCATCTGGGAACCTGGCTGAAGAATCTGTTAGTTCAGAACTGGTTCTAGGTGAGTAACACTCAGAAGTGGAGGAGAACCTAAATCCATCAAATGGCAAAAATGGTATTTGCTGCTTTGGTTTTCAATATGTGAGTTGTTGAGGTACATGTATGTGTGTATGCACATGCACATGTGTATAGGGAAACAAGGATAGCAGAGACATTTAGAAACGGGACACAGAATGGAGACAGAAGAAAGGGCGAATATAGAGTGAGGAGATGGAGACATTTTTAAGCCAAAATTCAGTCTAGGTTACCTGCCGAAGTGTCATGTTTGCTACTCGACATTTTCATGACTTTAGGCAACATCTTTTAAACTTTTCAAATCTATGTTAATATCATTTTCTTATTTAGATCTTTTAACATCAGAGAAGAATACAGATGGATAAATCCAATGGCAGTAAATTGTTAAGGGGTAGAAATAGTTCAAAACAAAGCAATACCAGCCTGGCGTGGTGGCACACATCTGTAATCCCAACACTCGGGAGGCTAAGGCAAAAGGATTATTGCAAGTTTGAGACCAGCATGGGCTACAAAGTGAGCTCAAGGCCAGCCTGAACTGCATAGGGGGAGACCCTGTCTAAAAAAGGCAAAACAGAGAAATACTACCTTTTTTAGATCCTGATAGCTTCTATGAGAATGGCAACCTACCTAGTAAGTGCTGGGAATTTTTTCTGTATAGAAAGGTGATAATTATAGTTCTCTTCCCAAAGAAAGGTCAACAGTGTACATTCTGCATGAATACAATCCCAAGCTTTATACTCAGCCCTTCCTTTCTGTTTCTTGATTTCCGCTTCATTGCACAACAGTTAATTATTGGGGCTGTCTATTAGCAAAATGTATAATTTGCTTGCCCCACCTGACTCTGTTGCTGTTGACTATGGAGTTGCACTAAACTGAATGCTTTATCTTGTTTGTAAGCCTGCTTCTCCTCCTATATTTGCACCTCATTTAGTGATACTGTGATACATCCAGTCTTCTCTAGAAAAACCTAGAGATTATCCTCTAGTCTTTTCACCGAGTTACAAAGTGGCATAGCTATTTGGATTTGGAATGTCCTAGGCTCTACCTCAATTGCCACGTAATGTTGGGCAATTTATTTAACCTTGCAATGCCTTGGTTTCAACATCTGTAAGACAGATTAGTACTACTCCCCATGGAGGAAATCATAAGGATTAAATAAGATTTTGCAAGAAGCCCTATCAAATTGTCTGAAATGTGATAAGCAGTCATTAAGTAGTAATTATTTTTGTTTCTCTTCTGCCTTCACATCCAATTAGTTACCATCACTTGATGGTTTTATCTACTGAGAATCTCTTGAATTTGCTTCTTATTTCTGTCATTCTTGTACAGCTCCACCTTGAGACCTTTATGCTCAGATTCCTGCAGTAGCCTCCTAAATTGAGCCCATTCAGCCCTACTGCCCTCGATAAGGTTGGTTCTAGAGTGCACACACTGGCCCTGTTTCTTGCCTGCTTGTTGAGGATCGCTTCTAAACTCAACACAGGGTGAAAATCTTTGATTAGGGCTTTGTGACTTTTTTTTTAAACAATATTTCAGTAACGAAGTACTGTGCAGATGTGTAGTTCTGCTGTGAAACCTTGCCTCAGCCTCAACCAGAAACTGGGAGGAACACAGGAGAAAAACTCACAAATATGTCTTTGCTATTGTTTGCCTTCTGCCCTAAAAATAAAGGAAATCTAATAAAATTGTGTTCATAAAATGAAGTTGCCATATTAACCTCGGGAAATAGAGATCAGAAAATACTGAAGCTATGAAAACATTGTAAAGAGTAGAAAAATTATTAAAGGAAAACTCATAAAACAGGCAATTTAATACTGGATTCATTTCTTGGGTATAATGCCTTCCAGGTTAATGTAATGGAGCTGAAAAGTATTAGCAATTCCACTTCACACCTTTACAAATCATATCCAGTTGTCAAAAAAAAAAAAAGCAGAATGAATCTGCTGTCAGCCCCATTACACAGACCAGAATAATAGTGTAGCAGCCAATTTCTGCTGTTAACAAAACTCAAGAGAAAGAAATAACAAAAAGCAAACCAGAGATGGTGAAACTAATTATAATGACAAGCATATTATTAGAGATAGGTAATGAGCAGAAAACTACTTTATCATCAGTTTCTCTCAACCCATTAATGGAAGATATTGGTGTAAAGGGACCTGCTTGTTTGGCAGGGAATGCAGAAAAACTGGTGTTAGTCTGAGGGGCTAGAAAGACAGCAAACACATAAAATAAAAGCAGAGGAAATGCAATGACTACCCTTCTCAGATTTGGATAGGAAATTCTTCTTGTGATACCTGTGCTGTTTCTGAAGAAGCAAAAGCAACCAGTCCATGATAAAATTACAGAAGCAAGGCTCTTTTGCTTTCTAGATCATAGAACTCTCAGACTCTAATGTTGCTTGTTCATCTAATGTTCATCTTCTTTGAAAGTTGCCAGTTAGTTCATTGGACAATTCAAGGTACAACTTCACATGTTCCAAGAGCCATCTTAAGCTCTAGAGTAAGCAGCTTTTATAAATATTGCAAATAAACTTCAGTGGATTGCTTAAATAAATTAAGGTACAGCCATAGTATTGCATGGTAATAAAAGAAAGCAGAGCTATTTTCTCCATACCATTAGTAGGTGGAAAAATGTAAGGCACACAATAGAATTCAGGGTATTGTAGCTATTATGTTAAAAGTTATAATGCATTTGGAAAAATGGTTGAGAAACTGGTAGCAAAAGTTGTCTTTTACAGGGGAACTAAGTGGGCAGGATTGGGGCACCAGTTTTCGCTGTATAATAGTTTTTGAGTTCATTTAATTTGCAGACCATAAGTCAGGTATATTGGCATATGCCTGTAATCCCAGCACTTGGGAGGCTGAGGCAGGAGGATTGTTGCAAGTTCGAGACCAGCCTGGGATACAAAATGAGTTCAAGGCCAGCCTGAACTGCATAGAGAGACCATGTCTCAAAAAGAAAAAAAAATTTGCAGACCACTTGCAAGTTTTAAGCTATAACAAAATAGTCACTTTAAAAACAGCTGAACATAAGCATAATTAGGCTGATATTGATACTTCTTCTTATCTTTACCATAGAAAAAGAACAGTTTCCACCACTGATCTTTAGCCTTGGTATCTTTTATTATTTTTTTTAACTTTAAAGAGAAAAAAGAAACCAGAATTTCAAAACAAGATAATAGAAGGAAAAAAAGATTTAAAAAAGAAAGAAAATAGGAAAGTAACAATGGTTAATGTATTATGTACTGTTATCTTTAAATTAGTTATTTGGAGTACAAGATAGCGGCATTTAATTGTCCAAACAATATGAGTAGAAACCTTTCTTTTCAGTGAACTAAGAGAAATTAGTAATATAGCTATCTTAACCATCTTGTGTCTGTGTATGTGGTTTTTGTTTGTTTGTTTGTTTGGGGTTTTTTTTGCTTTTTCCTTTCCTTCTTTCTCCCATCTCAGTTTCTCTTTCCTTTGGAACAGTTTCTTTCCATTTCACGGTATCTATGGTACATTTTTTCTTATTTGCTATTTCAGTTTCTCATACTAGGGAGACTATATGATGTTTACATATGTGAGTCTGTTTTATTTCACTTACAAGTGTGGTTTCAAGTTGTATCCTTTTACCCATAAAAGTCTCCAATTTATCCTTCTTTTTTTTTTTTTTTTTTTTTTTTTGTCTTTTTCATTTTTATCGGTACCAGGGATGGAACTCACGACTGCCTGCTTGCAAGGCAGGTGCTTATACCGCTGAGCTAAATCCCCAGCCCCAGTTTATCCTCCTTTATGGCTGAATAATACTCTGTTACATAAAAAGACCACATCTTGTTTATCCATTCCTCAGTTGATGTAGCCTTTAAAGATCATAAAAATAATAAAATAGCAGTATGTGAGTGTGGCTGAGTGGCAGAGCATGTGCAAGGCCTAGTCTTGAATCCTTAAAAATAAGATGATTTTTCTAAAGAGTTATATTATTCAAGGTGACAAACAGAATGTAATTATTATGAATTAAATATCTCTGGCAAATAAATTGGAAACACATACCTACATTATTTCATTTTAAATAGTTTTTTCAAAAGATGGATTTTCTTTTTAGGTGCTAGAGATTATGCTTTACCACTGAGCTATGTCCCCGGCTCCCCAGGCCCCAGGAAAAGTTTTTGCCTGGCATGGTGACACATACCCATAATCCCAATAGTCAGTGCTGCCGAGGTAGGGGGATCATGGTGAGTTCAGGGCCAGCATGCAGTTCAGAGTGAAGCTCTGTCTTAGAAAAATAAAAAGTTTCAGAGGCCAGGTATAAAGCACAGTGGCACAGTGCCTGCCTGGTAAGCATGAGCTCTCGAGTTCGATTCCTGGTACCACACACACAAAAGAAAAAATGTGGTTTTTTTCTAATTTCATTATAGAAAATGTTATAGACAGTATTGCTTTGAAAAGGCAACTAAAGACTAAGAATTTTTCCTCCTTTTTAAGTGATTTTCATTTTATTTGACGGGTATTATTTTAATCATACAACTTTTATTAAATGTTTTATTGTTGTTTGTTTGTTTTTGAGACAGGGTCTCACTATGTAGCCCAGGCTGGCCTTGAACTCAGTGATCTTCCTGCCTTCCTGCTTGGATTACAGGTGTACATGGCCGTGCCTGGCTTATCTTTTTTGAGGGGTTATGAAAAATAAAATGTTTTTGTTGTAACAAGTCAAACAATTCAGAGATTTTAATTATAAAAATGAAAGTCTCTCTTGTGCATTCAAATCCCCACAGTGTGCACCATGAGTAGCAGAGCCCTCTATTTGCTGGATGTGCCACACCAGCACATGTTTCACATCCATGGACTTCTTGCTGCTTTCCACCAAAAGTTGGTCACACCATACTTTTCCCCAAGCAGGCTGCTGCTTTCATTCAGCACTGAGACTTCTCTGCTTCTTTTCAAGGCTAAATGTCCCCTCATTGTTCCCTTACACCTGCTTGAAACCCCTTATTCTTGGGGTATAACAGAGTTGATTCTCTTTCCCCTACTGGACATTCAGATAGTTTTCTTTTAATTTGTATTCATTTTCATTTTGGACACTACACAACACTGTAGTAAATACTCTCATAAGCATTTTCATTTTTAGTAGTGTTACTATTTCTGAAGAGTAAATTTCCAAAAGTAGGATTACAAGGCCAAAAGCTACAAACTCTTTTTTGTTTGTTTGTTTGTTTGAAACTTTAAACATTTTACAAATTCCCATGGTCTAGTTTCCTGCCCAGCAATGCCTGCCATTCTCCAAGCGCTGTCTAGGCTTTATATGTGGCTCATAGCCGTTTCTGTTGGCGAAAACACCTCTCATGAAAAGCCTGAAGTTAGGGCTGTGACTCAGGGGTAGTGCACCTGCCCAGCATGCACAAGGCCCTGGCTGCAGTCCCCAGTAACACACACACATACACACACATGCACACTTCATTCTGTGTAGCTCCAGAGACCTGCACACCACCATCAAGATGATGTAAAACAGGCCTTGGCTCCTCACTGAAGTGATTATCTTCCTGCTGACTTGCACTCCTCAAGTGTACTGCAGACAGGCCGATGCTGAGTGATTCGGGGAGCACAGCCGGGCACATCCCCTGCAGAGTGCTGAGGCCAGACACCCCCAGTGGTGGAACAGGAAGGCTTCCTTGACCCACTGAATGGAGAAAAGCGTTTTTCCACACAGTAATTAAATTTGTCCTGAGTGCCAGATGCTAAAGCAAAGCTAGTTGTATTAAAGTGACCAGAAAAGGGAAAGAGTAGGTGGCAGGTTAGGTAGCATGATCTGTGTGTAAGTTTTGCCTACTCAGTGCAGATCCTTCAGTTTAACACAGAATAAACAGACTATTTCATAAGACAGGCAGTACCTCTCTCCACTGTGTGCAGAACTGCAGCAGATTTTATTCAGGAGTGTCATTTCCAGTGTCCCCACTATCCAGACCCTGAGGCAGATGATTGACCTCTTTACTCCTTCCCCTGTGCGGGTTGTCCATCCCCAGCCTCCAGGAATGTGAGAGCCAGCTGCACCTGTGGGAGACTGGCCCCAAATTTAGTTTGACTTGAGAAACAGTGAAACCATTCCATCCTCAAGATTTTCTTCTCTCCACACCCACTGAAAAACATTACTAATACTAAGAGCTATACTAATAACCAACAGATGATGGGCACCCAAAGTAAGAGTTAAAACAGAAATGCCACTTGAAAGGAAGGACACAGTGAACAGTTAGCATCCTAACCCTTTTCTTAAAACTTTTGATCCTTTTCTCCAAAGAAAATAGAGGCCCGAGAGAACCTGACAGAATGGGATATGGCCATCAGATTCTTTTGTTTGGGGGTGGTGGAGTTCAGGAGCAAAATCACCTCCACAGCAGGGGACAAGGAAGCCTGGTGGCTCCACTGGGGTCCATGGGCCCAATAGATCAGGAGAGCAGAGCAGCAACTGCGGCAGAGAAATGAACAGAAGGAAAGGTACTGTATTTCTCCATGTGAATAAATAGGTTCTTCAAATTTCTTCATTTTAGCTAATATTCCTCCACCATTCAAAGAATTCAGATCTGGTAATATTTGCAGTAATGGACTCTAACACAAATGCATTCGCTCCTTTTTGTCCATTGCCTCTGCTGTCTCCTAAAGACTTGAAGATCTCAAGCTAGAAGAACTGTTAGAACAGGTCACATACAATCTTTGTGGAGACCTACAGAGCCCTGCCTCCCCTACCCACTGCACTCTTGTTTCCTGCTGCAACCTGCTTTCCTCTACCTGTATCTGAAGTTTCTCAGTTTGGCCTAGTTTTTCCTTTCAGTAGTACTATCTTCCACATATACACATGAAATACTTACCTTGCATATGTGTTGTTTATTGTCTGACCCCTGTTAGAATACATGCTTCATGAAGTAGTCTGCTTTGTTCATTGCTTTGTTGATATATTCCCAGCACCTGGAATAGCGTTTGATGTGTAGCAGGCACCATTCAATATTGAATAAACAAAAGGGAAAAGCAAATTACAAAGAAATTGATGTAAGCTGGGCATAGTGGTAATCTCAATTACTCAGGATGCTGAGGCAGCAGGATCACAAATTCTAAATCAGGCTGGGCAACTTAACAAGCCCATTTCAAAATTAAAAAGGGCTGAGAGTATATAGCTCAGCACACCTTGGTTGGGTTCAGTCTCTGAAAATAAAATCTGATTTTTCAAAATGTCTATGTACGGGCCAGAGATTTAACTTAGTGGCATGAGCACCTGCCTGGCAAGCGTGAGGTCATGATTTCGAGACCTGGTACCAAAATATCTATGTAATATGGTATGTACATAATATTTGTAGAAAAATACATAGATATACCAATTTAGATAACAGTTATCATTAAAGATGAAATTACTAGAGATTTTGTTTATAATTTAATATTTTCTATGTTTACAAGAAACATTGGGGCTGGGGATTTAACTCAGCATACGTCGTGAGTTCGATCTCCGGTATAAAAAAATATTTTGTAATAAAAAATAATACTCACAAAATAAGAAGTTAACTCAAGGAATTTGATTAAGCCTAAAAGCGAGAGCTTTGGGCGGGATATAAATTACAGTGGATGAGAGTTGTATTATTACAGTAGTTTTTATTGTAGGCTTAATAATCATTTGATAATCTTGAATTGATTTTCTAAAATTTAAGGCTTGCCTCACTTGGAAGCTGGTAGCCAGCTAATTTTGTTGTCTCAGTAGCCAAGAGTCGTGATTGTGTTAGCTGGCATAGCACCTGGGGACCAGTGCTAGTAGTGGATAAGAAACTTCAAATAGGGTTGCACTTTGCCATCCTGGCTCCCCACTCAGCCAGTTCTGGGGTAAACATAAGCATCAGTCCTGGGAGGGTAGAGAGGGGAAATATCCTTGCCGAAAGATCTTCTTACTCATAGCTTAGCTCTTTACCTGTCCTGCAAAGAGCTGGCCAGAAAAAAGGACAGTTGCTGCAGCTTTTAACAGGCAGATGTGACAGCTGTTGATCACAGGACCCAAGCATGTCCTCATTATGTCTCGTGAAATACAGAGACAGCCCATGAGATCCTCTGTGCTGCGCACGTATCTGTTACACAGTATTTTCTTCTGTTTTTGCTAATTTATTTATTTTTAGTTTTTCTGTCTTTTGCTTTTTCAGGCAGGATCTCACTATATAGTCTAGGCTAGTGTTAAACTTACAATCCTCCCATTTTAGTGTCCCAAGTTCTACGACTACAGGCATGTGCCATTGACCTTGACTAGGTTTCCCATCTTTTAAAATCTTTAGTCATTTTTCCAAACCACTTAAAAGAACATTTACAGTAAAGACAAAAAATTATTTCTTTCAATTAACAAAAATTATAGTTGTACTTTTGTTTAAAAATACCTTCCTGGGAAAAGCAAAAACATAAATTATATATATATATATATATTATATCATAGTTAAGGTAGTTATACTACTAATTTTTCTTAGTTCATTAAAAAGAAAGGTCTGTGCTAATATTGTTTGGACATTTAAATACTAGTATTTTGTACTCTGAGTAACTAATTTGAAAATAACAATACACAATATATTAACCATATTTACCCTACTATTTTTTTAACTTTTGGTTCCAAAGATCAAACAATCTCATGTTTGCCCGGCAGGCACTTGTGCCACTGAGCTGTATCCCTGGCCTTTTAAAATAAAATTTTAAAAATAAATAAAGTACCTTCTCTAGGCACATACTATCCATTTAAAATCCAAGAGTTCATGAGCTGGACATAGTGGTACCGCCCTGTAATCCCAGCTCTCAGGAAACTGAGGCAGGAGGATTGCTGTGAGTTTAAGGCCAACCTGGACTACATAGTGAGATCCTGTCTCAAAATAATAATAGTAAAGAAGAGTTGAAATGGAGAAATGCTGTAACATGCATGCTTACCCCGAATTTAAATTTTTGAAAGGAGGAAGCATATTTTGATTCTCATATTACTGAAGTAGTTTTACTAATCTAGCAAATCCAAAACTGCTGAGCCCTTGACTGTGTGAGGCTGGTTCTGGGGAGGATGAGGACCCCTGGTGAGCCCTGTGGGTAAGAATTCCCAGACATACTCAGGGGACCCAGGACAGAACATCCTTCTCGCCTGGGAATCCGGAAGGCCTTACCATACAGCAAGACAGTCTCCTCATTTCAGTTGCCCCTCATTTTCAGTCAGTCACTTATGAAATGATTACACTCCCCCAAAAGCTTGCTCCTACATAATTCAGGATTGTCCTGGATATCTCTCATCAGCAAGGAAGAAAAGTCATATGAATTATTTACAGAGTACTAAATTATTTCCTTTTATGAGTGCCAACTTTGTTTTTGTCACTGCAAGCTGAGATTTTGTTTATCCATGAATAGTTTTCCCTGGGGCATGAAAAATATGACTCTTAAATTATGAATGAGGTTTTTTGTTTGAATCCGTGTTAACTAAAACATGCTAAATAAACTATGTTTTTCATTAGATCCCTTTCAGCTCCCCACAAAAACAGAACCAACAAAAGAAAGAGCAATTCAACCAGCAACCACCAGGAAGCCCACAGTAATTCGAATTCCAGCCAAACCAGGAAAATGTAAGCACTCCTCTGTCTTTTTACTTGCTTCTTTTAAGAGCTTGGGAAAAATATATGCAAATTTATCAACTCTACCCTTGAAATTAGGTATGACTTGCCTTTTATTATTCATAGTCATGGACATTCAGAAGCAAGTTTTTCACAAATCTTTGGAGAATTAGTACCATAAATTTGGATTTCATTTTCTTTAATCTTTTCTCTAGGCACAGTGAATTAGAAGGAAACTGAATCTTAGAACAATTGTAGTATCCCTTGTTAGTGCCTCTGGTATGAGTCTTAGGAAAGTAATTGAAACTAATAACAAAAGTTGCATATTCTGTCAGGGGTAAATTGTTCAAATCAGCATATTCTAAATGACTATGTGTGAATTGTATGAGGATCTATAACCAAAAGCCTTAAAAGCATATAGTGGTGTTTAAGAATGCTTTTTTTTTTCTTTTGATGGCTTGCTAGATAAACATCTTTTAAAGTTAGTATAATATTGTCTATATATATAAAATTACATGTATACACACATACTTGATTTTCTAAATGGTACAGTAAATCAAATTCTGTGTGAACTTTAATGGATACTTCGAAAGAATATCTGCTGTATAGAGCCAGGGATGTTGCTCAGTGGTGGAGCATCCCGGGTTTGATTTCAGTATCACCAGAAAGAAAAAGAGAACAAACTTGTTATTTACCATAAGGTATAAGCCACAGGGACAGGAACTATTATTTTAGGCCCCAGATACTATTTTTAAAATAGGAGTAAAATCACATGTGTATACATGCATGCACAGTGAGTTCCAGGGTAGGTCCTATTGTCGCTGAGGACAGTCAGCAGTTTTCTCCACAGCCCTCTGATTTCTTTTGTATCTGCAGTGCTTTGTATATCTTGCCTTTGTCTCACAAGAGATTCTGCCCATTTGAACTAAACTGGGAAGACTCTCACAACTCAAAAAATAGGCATATTCATAGCTGTGATTTATTATAGTGAAAGTATATGAGCTGGGTATAGTGGTACATACCTGTAATCCCAACTACTAAGAAGTCTGAGACAGGCAGATCCCAGGTTCAAAACCAGCCTCACCAACTTAACAGGACCTGTCTGAAAATAAGGTCTGTAGCTCAGAGATAGAGCACTTGCCTGACATACTAGGCCCAGAATGTAATTCCCAGCACCACACACACAAAGTATGCATGGCAGAATAAACAAAAGGAAAAGGCAGCTGGAGTAAGGTCAGGAGGAAACCAAGTACAAAGGTCCAAGAGTCTTCTGCTGGTGAGAATGCAGGATATGGGGAACCCTTGCAGCAGTGAGCTATAATAATGTATGTGACATGTTGTCAACCAGGGAAGCTCATTAGAGAGTCACTGCCCATGGTTTTTTGGAGTGCTGGTTTCTTAGGTACCCCTAGATGTGCTGGCATGCACAGAGTTCTAGATTCTCAGCGGGAAAGCAGGAATTCAGCACCAACCATATTCTTCTGTTTCCTCAGTTCTGGGAATTATGGAAACTGTCCCAAAGTCCAAGTTCCCAGATGGCAATCAAGGACCAACCTTGCAAGCAGGCCCTTCTAAGAACAGGAGTTTCAGGCCTACCCTGTTTACTGTTTCTGCATACATATGAACTTGAATTACTAGCTCTGAAATCCTAAGGATATGCTGAGGAAATACCTTTCATTTTTCTCCTGATGAGGCTCCAGAACTGTTAGAAAGTTGAATTTTACACTGCTAGAAGTAAGATAACTGATACCTCAGACTGGTCTCTAAAGAGTTGCTTCTAAAGCCAGATATGGTAGTGCACATTTGTAATCCTAATACTTGATAAGCTGAGGCAGGAAGATCACCTCAAGTTTGAAGTTAGCCTGGACTACATAGTAAGTTCACATTCAGTCTGGCCTCCATAGTAAGATCCTGTCTCAAAAAAATAAAAATAAAAATTGCTTTTCTAGGGTAGACTTGGGGATACATAACACACATCTATAAATCCCAGCATCTGGAAGCCTGACGTAGGAGAATCACAAGCTGGAGTGTAGCTTGGGCAGTTTTGCAACTTAACTAGTCCCTGTCTCAAAACAACAATTAAAAAGGATAAGAGTGAATGGCTCAGAATAAAGACGCTAGATTCAAACCCCACGACTAAAAAAAAAAAAATTGCTTTCAATAAAAACCAGTCCCCCCAAATTCTATTATTACTGTTATTAAGCAATGTATAAGAACAAGAGTCTGGCGTCTGAAGAATTTGGGATGGAATGGACAAGGCAAGAGTCAACCTGGCTGTGCCAAACTCCTTGATGCTTTCTGCACGGTCGGCTCCCTCCCCTCTGGAGCCTGTTTGTTCTAACTGGAGAATGTTTCCCCAGGCATCTCCATGCCTTCCTCCCTCACCACTCCTTCACATCCATGCTCAGATACCGTTTTCTTAGTGATGCCTTCTCCAACCATACTATTTAAAACTGGAAATAGTCTGTGTCCCCAGCTCTACACCCACTTGGAGACTCCCCACATCCCTCCCTGCAGCAGACATCTTCTCTCTCACTTTCGTAGTGCTACTCTATATTCTTCAGTATTTCTTAGAACAGTGTTTTATCCTGTGAGTCTCTCATTTCGTAAAGATGCTGCAGAGTTTTCAGGATGCTGGCTGAATTTAGGTATGTGTTATTGTAACCTCCCGAGCAGCCCTGGCTCTCACTGACAACACTTGCCTGTCTTGAGTCATTGTTTTTCTAATGACTGACCTGGGTATTTTCTTCCCTTTAAGAATGTTTTTCTGTCTGTTGACAAAAAAGTCATCTGACAAATCATCCTCTTGTGACAAGTTTTTCATGTAACATGAAAAAGTATTCATTGGTTTAAAAAAAAAAAAAAAGAGAGAATTGCCATCTCCTTTATTTAGTGTCTAAACCAAACACTGTAAAAGGTGTCCTTAACCTCCTTCAGTGTGAAATAGTCATCCTCTCTTCAGCTATTTTTGCACACTGATTTTAGTTAACTTTCAGTAATTAAATCTGGTCATCTGTGTTTTTTTTTTTTTTTCAAAAAGTTGAGAGTACCCTACTACTAAGATAAGAATATGATTTGGATGTAAAAGTATTATTTGTTTGAGAGTAACTATGTTCATTATCAAGAGCAAATGAATTAAAAAACATTTAATTACTAGATGAGAAAGAGTTGGATATATAACATATTAAGTAGCTTGTCTTATTAGAATGAGACAGGGTTTTGGGTTTACAGCTATAAAACATTTACTAACATTTACTAACATTAAGACCTTAAGTAACTCTTTCTCATAACTTTAATTTTTCATCTATTAAAATTTCCATATCTGAGGTAACAAGTGATTACTGAGTGTTTGAAATATGGTTAGTATAACTGAGGAACTGAAATTTTATTTCATTTCAATTACAATTTGTTAAAGCCTGGCATGTAGTGCACGCCTGTAATTGCAGCACTTGGGAAGCTGAGGCAGGCAGATTACTGCAAATTTGAGACCAGTCTGGGCTACAAAGTGAGCCCAAATTCAGCCTTAACCCCATGACAAGACCCTGTCTGAAAAAGACGGAAAAAAAAAAAAAGGTTGTTAAAATGACCACATAGGCAAATCTAATACATAGATAGAAGAGGTGATTGAAGAACAGGCTAAATGTTTACATTTTAAAGAAAAAAATATAATGAAAGATACATTGCCAGGAGCTATGGGTAAGCCAGTAGTATTTGAGTATATTGAGGGTAGTTAATGGCAATATGTCTTTTACTGTAATACTTTCTTATTTAGACAGTCATATTTTTTGATCATCTCTCATTGATCAAATCTTTACTGCTGTTTCTGTCAAATAATCTTATGGTATGACTTCCTCCACCTTACTCACTGGCTCCGGTACTGTATTAGTTACTTTTCTCATTGCTGAGACAGAATACTCAACACCAAGGTTAAAGGCGGAAACGTTTATTGAGCTCACAGTTTGTAGAGGTTTCAGGGCAGGATAGCACATGGCAGAGGAGCAGTAGTTTATGGTATCAAGGGGAAGATAGCAAAAGCAACAAAAGAAAGAGAAAGAACAAACCTTTCTGTCCCTTATATTTATGCAGGCAACTCACACTAGGGTGAGTGTAACAGTCACACCCTTAATCCCAGCATTGGACCATGAATCAGTCACAAACTCTAGATTCAGCTGCCTCCAAAAACCCGCCATTACTGCATGAGACCTTGGTGGGCACATCCAGACCCAAACCATAACAGGTACCTAGCAAATCCTGGCTTTTCCCCAAAATCAAAATGACCTTGAAAGGTAAACATTTTTAATTGATTCAGGAGTGAAGGCAGCCAGGACAGTGTAACTAAAGACACAAAGAGTACTTCCAGAGATGTTTCAGAAAGTGGCAAAGACAGGATAAATACGTTCAAAGTGAGAGAAACTATTCTGAAGGGGATTCATGGCAATGGGTCTTTTGGGTTTTTTTAAACTTTCAAACACCGTATTTGTTGATTGCATCTTGTTTGTTGGTTAGAGAAATGTACACAAATAAAGTGCCTAAGTTAAAACCTAAAACAGAGAAGGTTCCTAGCAAATGCTAATTGCTGTTGTAATTAGTATTATTTCACTCTATAAAATATGTAATAAAATTAACTGATGTTGACTAACATCAAATTTTGAGGTTTGGTGAGAGCTCTTTCTCATTTGCTTAGCTGTCTATTCTTTGAGTCTTTTATGGTATTTTCCTAAGGAACCAATCTACAGTCATTTCATTCTTTAGAATCCCAGGGTAGACATTACTGATTAAATACTGCTATTTTTGCAAGGTTTACCTGAGGAGCCACAAAGCCCACCTCCACTCCCTGCTGAAAAACCTATTGGAAACACTTACAGTGTGGTATCTGGAAAACTCAGTAATGTTGACAGAACAAGAAATGTGGTAAGTGATCATAATAGATTGTACTAGGTTGAAGAAGAAGCTATTTACAAACAAAATATTCAGTTGATTACCATTGGTCAGATTTTTTTATAAAACACTTTTATTAGAAACCAGTTACTTTAAAAAATGTTAAAAATCCATATAGAATTAAGCTAATCCATTGTACTTTGTTAGAAATAATTTATCATATACCTATGTGGTAACAGTGTCTTTTATGCTAATAATGAAGTTAGAAATCTTTTTAAAAAATCTTTAATACTGCAGAAATAGATTTAGTCATGTTGTCAGTTTTTGGGGGTTTTTGTTTTTATTTGGGATCAAACTCACAACCTCATGCTTGTCATGTAGGTGCTTGTGCTGCTGAGCTAAATCTCCTGCCCTGTGTTTTTATTTTTTATTTAAAATATCCAATTGGTGACATAACTTTAAGATAATTGGTCTTAAGACTTGAAATCTGAAATTTAAGGAAAAAATTATTTTTAATTAAAAATGGTTTCTTACTATACATTTAAATTTTTATTTTAACCTCAATATTTCCATGTGGTAGATGATCCAAGACTTAATTCACACAAAGTCAACTCTCAAAGACTTTGAACCTAATTTTCAGTTCAAATTTTTATGATAGTTTTACCCTGTGTGTTAACTGTGCTTATCATACAGCACATCCGTCTAATCACCTAGTTAAGAGCAAATTCTTTGAAGGAAACATTAAATTAAATTAGCCAATACCAAGTTAATGAGACTTTCTGTAGAATGAATTAAAGTTTAATGATCATTTGTATTTTCGAAGTGCTTGGTAATAATTTTTTATTAAAATTAGGCCAAGAATTGAGTGTGGTGGTACATGCTTATAATCTCAGCATTTAGGAGCCTGAGGCAAGAGGATCATTGCAGGTTTGAGGCCAGCCTGGGCTACAGAGTGAGTTCAAGGCCAGGTTGAATTACATAGCAAGACCCTATTTCAAAAAACCAGCCAGGGGGCTGGGGATTTAGCTCAGTGAAAGAACGCTTGCCTAGCAAGCCCTGGGTTTGGTCCTTAGCACCAAAAACTGAAAAACAAACAAACAAAAGATAAAACCAAAGCCGGAGATATAGCTCAGCAGCATGAGCACCTGTCTGGCAAGTGTAAGGTTATGAGTTTGCTCCTCAGTACCAAACAAACAAAAAGCAAAAAAAAAATTTTTTTAATAACATAAAATTGAACAAGAAAGTTCAGAACAGAATGGTAGGATCTTTTCTGTACTATTGTTGAATGGGAAAATCACACATTTCCATGCAGCAGTGGTTCTTTGAGAAGATTATAAGCAGTTACTCTGAGAAGATTATAAAAGGAAGTGAAAGGCTGGGGATTTAGCTCAGCAGCATAAGCGCCTGCCTTGCAAGCAGGCAGTCTTGAGTTCGATCCCTGGTACCAATAAAAAGGAAAAAGACAAAAAAAAAAAAAAAAAAGGAAGTGAAAATGGTGATAGAAACTATCCATGTTATTATTGATTAGGTGATGTAATAGGCTTTTTGAAAGACAAAGCTCTATTGAAATATGTTACATTTGGTGTTAAGCAATCCACTAGCAACTCCCACATTAAAAAAAAAAAAAGGAAGTTAGAGTAAACCAGTCAATCTGGAGAAATCCTGTATTCATAATTGTGCTTGTGCCTCACATGAACATGAGGAAAATCCTGTCTCACACTGTTTATAAAAGGAATCAGAGTGGTCTGTGCTTCGTAAATGCTTACCATTAAGACAGCGAGTCTGAAGGAGAAAGATGAGAACAGGTCATGTGTTCAGTGATTCACTTGAAATCACATGTAGATTGTAGAGCCTGAAAATCAAACGTGTGCCTAAGAAATTCCTTTTCTTGGAGAATTATAATGACTGAATGAACTTAGAGTTCGTAAAGACTAATGATGAGACTGAGGGTCTCTCAAAGAATGTTTCATTGGCACAGCAACCCACAGGGACAGGCATGGTCTTTGCCAGCTGTGTCTGCTGACCACGCACAGGACAAAAACCACTACCATATCCCTACATCAGTCTGAGAACTTTCTCTATCAGGGTGAGGAGCATCTGGAACCATTCTGTGCAGGAGCTCTGTGTGCCCTGCTGCCCATTGTGGGAACTCAGAGCATCTCCCAAGGAGGCAGCCAACTGGCACAGGCTTGGCATCAGCCATGTGAGGTATCAGACATACAGCACAGCAGCATGTGTGGAAGGACACAGCTGATTTAGAACTCAAGACACAAGAAGCAATATATCAGTTCTTAGAAAACACATCTAGAAGCTGCTTGGTAATTCCAACACATCAGAACAGTCTTAAAAGAACAATCTTCTTTAAATACCACTAAAGGGTTGGGGATTTAGCTCAGCAGCATAAATACCACCAAAGCTAGGTATGGTGGCACATGCCTGTGATCCCAGCATGCAGGAGGCTGAGGCAGGTGGATTGCTGTGAGTTTGAGGCTAGCCTGCGCTGCATAAGCAAGTCCAAGGCCAGGCTGGACTGCATAGCGAGACCTTGACTCAACCCAAATAATAAATGCTACCCAAAACTGGGGAATTATTTTGGTACTAAAGTATAATTCTAATGCAGCTGAACAAAAAAAGGGCATCTACAGAAATAATACAAATAGGGGCTGGGGATTTAGCTCAGCGGCATAAGCACCTGCCTTGGAAGCAGGCAGTCGTGAGTTCGATCCCCGGTACCAGTAAAAAGGAAAAAGACAAAAAAAAAAAAAAAAAAAAAAGAAATAATACAAATAGGAAAACTGACTTTGCTAGGAGCTAAAATACTTACCCAAAACCATCAAACTGCAAAGCTCAAGGACATTATAAGTAGAAAAAACTACCACAAAGCAGACACAGAGGCTTCCAGTTATGCATGGAATGTTGAAGAGAAGGAAGTCCCCAGTCTGTCACCTTTCAGAGACTGGGCAGAAGCAGGCAGAAACCCAGGCCTGGAAGTCACTGCCTCCCACGGGAACCACCCCCAGACCTACTGTTGGAGTGTGAAGTACAGTGGTGCCTCTCAAGATGCCTGATATCCCTGAAGAATTTTAGCTCACTGCCCTTTTTTCTGACTTAAAATTTGCTCACTATGGAAAATTGAGAAATTAAAAGGTTTTAAACTGTGCTTGATGGCATACATATGAAATCCCAACTACAAGGGACACTGGGACAAGAGATACACAAATCAAGGCCAGCCTAAGGAAATGGATATAATTCAGTGATAGAATGTTTGCCTAGCATGTGTGTAATCCTAGATTTGGTCTCCTGTACTACCAAAAACAAAAACCAAAACAAAACAAACAAAAAAATCGTAAAGTTTAAGATGTTTCATAAAAATATTACCACCCAAGAAAAACAATCTTAGGCACATAGGCTGCGTAACTATGAAGTGTTATATATTTCCATGTCATACTTACAGTTTGATACCTTTTTAAATTTCCCATACTTTCTCAACCACAAGTTATCTAACAACTATAATTTTGAGAAAAAGCAATAAAAATTTTTCCAGTCTGCTAGAGTATGTTTAATTTTGAAGGTAGCCAGAAAAATCACTGCATTCTCAAATATTGTGGCAGTATTGTCAAGAAGAAATACAGTCAGCAGCATATTTATAACGCATGGATTATATTCTGGAATATTGCAGGGTTTGTGAGCTGGTAACTTGTCTCACTCCATTAACAGAACTCATTAGTAAAACCAAGTTTTAAGGACAAGCTTAATTTGTTTTTTAAAATGGGATTTTTAAAACATTTAAAAATGTTTAAATGATCACAGTTATTGACAATTAATCACTTGGTATTTAAGGAAAAGTTATACATATGATGAATTTAAATCATAAAAGTAAGTTTTAACTCATTTATAAGAGGGAAAACAGTCTGAATTAACTCAGAGTCTCAACCTATATTTCAGCCCCCTTTGGAATAAATAAATGGGCAATATAATTTTAAAGGGCTAGCATTTTTTTCCCTGATAAGACCTTAGAAAAATATTATCTCTTCCTGTAATCCCAGGTCTTGAAAGTCCAAGGCAGGAGAATTGCCTCAAGTTCAAGGCCAGCCTGGGCTACACAGTTTGTTCAGGACCCTGCTGGAGATAGGAAGAGAAATAGATCTCTTGGATGTCGTATTGGAGTTTTAGGAAAGGTGAACCAGGGAGGCAGAGTAAGAAGAATTTAGTGAGGATCCTTAACTTCTCACTTGACAGAAGACCTGAGACTACTTCCCATATAGTATACTCATTTTCCAATCCTTGAACTATCACATGTTCACAGAACTTCAAGTCCTTCCCCTAGAGGAACCTTCCTGTTAATCTCCCTACTTACAGTTTCTCTCATCTACTAAAACACTCACTGTTTATTTTTCACATTGTCCCCTTTACTCTTCTGAATATAACTTCCTGTCACCCTGTCCAACCCCTTTGCTATAGTGGTTGCAAGCATCCTTTTCCCTTGGACTTCAGTTTCTCCTCATATTCCTCCATTTCAGGCCATCCCTTATGCTTTTGTTTTTAATCTTCTCATCTCTGTTTTGTTCAAAACCTCCTGCGAGCCAGGCCTGATGGTGCAGGCCTATGATCCAAGCAGTTGAGGAAGCTAAGGCAAGAGGACCACAAGTTAAGCCCAGCCTGGGCAACTTAGACCTCATTTCCAAATAATAAAATAGGCTGACGATGTAGCTTGGTATGAAAGGCATTAGTTTCAATCTCCAGTACTATATAAAAAAGAAAAAACCCTTACTACAAAATGTCAGACCATCCAGGGATAAGATCTGCCTGTTCAAAGCAAAACAAACTAGTAACCACTTACTATGTGTGTAAACTCAGGAACCATAGGTTTACTTTGTGTAATTGGGGTGAATATCATGTATTTGTTTCATTTCCCCCTAGGCCTGCTTACACTGGTTGTCACTGGGTACCCCCCCCCGTGACTTTCATACCATCCGTTAATGTCTTCTGAATCACTGGGCCCACAGCCACGCAATACCCTGGTCAGGATGTGTGCACTCATGACGCCATGGTTTCTTCTAACCTGTGTGAGGATGCAGATAACTTAGAAGTGAACCATGAATGAATAATGTTTAAGAATGAAACTCTTGGGGCTGGGGATTTAGCTCAGCGGCATAAGCACCTGCCTTGCAAGTAGGCGGTCGTGAGTTCGATTCCTACTACCGATAATAATAAAAAAAAAAAAATGAAACTCTTTTCAGTTATTTTCTGTAAGTCAGCTACACTTTTACTTACAGACCCAACCAAAAAGTTGTCCAAAATTCTTCCTGACAGGTTCTTGTTTTGGGTTTCTCTTGACTAACAAGTTTTGTCTGGCACTTGTAGGAACCTGGGCACACAGCTGAAACAGGAGGCTTTGGACGAGGACCCCCAAGGTTGCCACCACGGTAAATACGGGTTGCAGTAGGAAGAAATGAATGACTCACACCCAACTCTGTATTTCAGTCATCTAGACTGTGTGTTGTTGGCCTTAGAGCTTCTTTTACAAATCAAATAAGTCACAATTTCACCCAAGCCACTGGTCTACAGTCTGCTTCTGACCAAAGATTTTTGGAATTTCTGTTCCTTTTTCTGTTTAATACATTCCAAAATTTGGAGACAAACCTGTCTCTTTTACTTTTCCTCAAAAACAAATGAACATGACTCCTTTGTAAACCTGAAGCAGCTCCATTTCTGGAACACACACACACACACACACACACACACACCACCCCTTCTAGGTAAGGGCGATGAGCCTGGGTTGGCAGTTAAAGGAGCACGGGCTGTGCGAACTCAGGGGTGACCTGAGTCCCAGGGCTCTGCGAACAAAAGGCCTCGCTGCTGGCAGAAGATGACACCATGTTGAAGTTTATTTCTGTCCTAGTGATTTATGGCTTTCAAGGTGATAGCTGTCTCACTCCACTTTCAGAACTGAAGAAAACATTTTCAGAGTTTTCTTTAAATTAATCTAAAATAGAATTGTAATAGTGATTCCTATTATGTGAACAGTAGGGGATCTTCCTTTGTAACAATTTACAAAAAGACCCTAGCGCATACACCTGATAATCTTACAAGTTTTTCTGCTCAGATTTTGGTAGAAAGTGCTTAGTTTTTGTTTAGAAACAGTCATGATGTGTTTAAGAGCAGTCACACCTTTGAGAGCTCGTGATAATAAATGCTTGTTTGTCTTGAACTAATGAATCTCCGGTGCAAGATATGAGGAAGCTGGAAAAGGTGGCATTTCCTCTAATAATACAGTGTTTCATGCAACAGTCATTTGCTCAGAAATAGCATGCCTTGCAGGTTTCAGTAAATTGTATTACATTAGCAGAAAGCTGTGTGTCTGCACATGTGTGTATGTGTGTGCATGCATGTGCACATGAACACCTGTAAGAAAGGACAAAGCTAAAGCTAGTACTGATTAAAACGTTGACTCATGACTACTGCGTTAACTTTCAGACCAGTAAATGGAAAAGTGATTCCAGTTCGACGACCTCCTCCCAAAGGGGCCCCTGAAAGACCACCACCTCCTAAACTTCCTGCCACTAGAACATCAAGTAGAAAACTGCCTTTTAACCGGTCCTCTTCTGACATGGATCTTCAGAAAAAACAAAGTCACTTGGCATCTGGACTCTCAAAAGCCAAGAGTCAAATCTTTAAAAATCAAGATCCGGTGCTACCCCCTCGCCCCAAACCAGGACATCCTCTGTACAGGAAATACATGGTAAATACTGCTTTTTAAAAATGTTTATGGGAAAAAAATATGGTCAAGAGGTTTGTCCTGAAATATATATGAGATCCATTATTCCTTAGAAAAAGATGGTGAAACAAATGCAGGCTTGTCCCTTGACCCATAGAGTACTTTAGATCAGCTGGCCATAGTAACACCTAGAACTGAGAAAGCTGTTGGAGGTTATGCTAACAGGAGTAACTAACAGACATAGTTATATCTTGATATCATCAAATCTTAGAGCTACTTTGCCCACTGAGTAAAATTTAAACTAAAGTAGAAATTGAGTTTCTATTACCAAGATGTGCAGATATTCCCACATTTTTCCCATTTTGTAAGTCTAATTATTATGGCCCCATTTAATAGCTATTTGTTAGAAGTTTGTAACTGAGATAGTTGAAATACTAAATGTGTTCTCTGTAAATGTTTTTCTTATCAAATGATTTTGCCTCCATTACCCACAGATGAAAAGCAGAATTGATGTGCTCTCTACTTTGGTCAGGTTAACCTGATAAAATAAAAAATTTAAAATAAGAACAGAATTGTTTGTATTTCTTAAACAATTGTGTGGCGGAGTAGCTCTTAACAGGGACAACAATTAATAATATATATTGATGTACATTACGTTATTGAGCCAGATTTTTTTTTTTTTTACTTTAAGCCACACAGTGTTTTTAAAAAATTGTTGTTAGAGAAGGAATCAGCAGATAAGATGTAAGATGTATGCATATATATTTGTATTCATTTAAGTTAATGAAATTTTAGTTCCTAAAACCCAAGGGCATAGGCTATTTGGGATTGGTTACTTAATAAATAAAAACAGCAAGGGGCTGGGGATTTAGCTCAGCAGCATAAGCGCCTGCCTTGCAAGCAGGCAGTCGTGAGTTCGATCCCTGGTACCGATAAAAACGAAAAAGACAAATAAATAAATAAATAAAAACAGCAGCTGATATGTGTTGAGTACTAAATAATAAGCCAGGCACTGTATACATAAAGAATACATACGTACATTTATTCCTCACATGAACTTTGAGTTAGATCATCATTGTACAAATGGAGAAAATAAAATGGTGAGATTAAGCCAAGGCTGAACATAGTTAACTGGCTCTGAGCAGGCTCCTGACCACCACCCCACCCCACGAGCACTGCATTCCTGGTGGAAAGTCTCTACCTGCTTTGCCCATTCTTCGTTATGATCCTTTACTCAGGGGAAGCCAAATGTCACTTGGCACAGCTGTCTATAGCACTGACCATAAAACACATAAAGAACTCAAGGCAATTAATACATCAGCATGATGGCATATTCAGAGCGATATGTCTTTTTTTATGAAATAATTGCTTAAATTATTTATTTTTTCATGGCTACCCTACCATTAAATTTCTAGCCTGCTAGCTAGCCAGCCAGGAGTCTGGTTCACATAGAGTCTGAGGAAGCTGGGAAGTTGTACTACTCAATGTGGACCTCTGTGTCTTTGCTCCTGGATGATCCAGGGGTCCAGGTGGCCTCCTTTTCCACCTCCTCTGTATACTTTGTATGCTGTGCAGACCCTGTGATCTCCATGCAGCAACTCACATTCACCATGCAGGGAAGAATCCTCATGGCCAGAGAGTCACACAGATTTAAAAACTGTTCTAAGACTGCACCCAACTGAGTAGACCAGGAAGCATCTGGGGTCAGGCAGACACTAGGTATCATGGAGACTCTAGACTCGAAGCAAATGGAAACATTAGTCAAGCCTATATGGAGAGCTTCAGTTGCCTGTTAGCTTTCAGAAAGCCACCACTGGGACCCTGAATTAGTAGGTCCCTGACAGGCTCTAAGGTGCTAAGTATTTACCCTTCAGTCCCCCAGAGGATTTGGCACACCAGCTCTGTAACCTGGAACTTCTGGTTGTGGGTGTCAAAGGGAATGTCAGGTACACTCAGCCACTGTGGTCCTGTGGGCTCAACTTCACATCCCAAGAACTTTAATGTCTGAGATGTGGCAGGTGCCTCTCAACCTAGGGCCTGAAGCAGCCTGATAGTTTAACTGCTAGAGAGGTTGCATCTTAGGTGCACTTGCCAGATGGTCAGCAACTGCAGCAGTGGGGGAGGGAGTGTTTCTTGGTCGAAGTATAATTCTTATATTGGTTTACATTTAAGCTACCTGTGCCTCATGGAATTGCCAATGAAGACATTATCTCTCAACACCCTGGAGAGCTCTCTTGTAAGGTAAATAGAGTTCTTTCCTTACTGACTGGCATTAAGAAAAAAGGAAAAAAAGAAAAGCTGGCCTCTGTCACTTCTATTGCACATTATTAAATGCTTTAGGCTCCAAAGATTAAAATGTGGAAAAGTAATAATGTTTTATTAAATAATAATTGCTTCAGAGAGTGGTATTGTACCTTACAGCGTGGGGACGTACTTGTGATGCTGAAGCAGGCAGAAAATAATTACTTGGAATGCCAAAAGGGAGAAGGTACCGGCAGAGTTCACGTGTCTCAGATGAAGATTATCACGCCTCTTGATGAACATCTTAGGAGCAGAGCCAACGTAAGGAATTAATACTGTTATCCCTCATACTATACATGGTAGCACATTTCATAGAACTGTTCATTATTTTTCATCCAAGGTTTATCTTATTAACATGGTTATTTTACTGTAAACATGTTTGCCAAAGTGCCAGAGATTAGACAGTGACTTTATAGGGAGTCCTATAAATGTTACATCTGCCATTAAAAAAAGTACTTTCTTTTAAAGTGTAAATTTAATTTAATGTAAACTTGATTGCTCTAATTTTAGCTCATGAAGTAATGAAGTTTAATCTTGTACTACAAATCACAAATCAGTGGCACTGAGAATTGAACCCAGAGCTTTTGCATAGAGCTATATTCCTATATTTTTAAAAAAATACTTTGAGACAAGTCCTGCAATATTGCCCAGGTTGGGCTCGAACTTGTGGTCCTCCTGTCTCAGCCTCCTAGAGTGCTGGGATTCCTGGTGTGCACCACTATACCCATAAAAATTATAACTATCCAGAGTTTTCCACTTTAAACATCACCTTCTTGTTCTATGCACTGAGGTAGGCATGTCAGTATCTCTATTGGTGGCAGTGAATTTTTCTTTAGGATTTTGGGCTGCTGGGTATTACTACATTTTTTAGAAGAATAAAACTCAACTATCTGAAAGCCTACTTTTTAGGTAAATATCTCTAATATATTCCTTTAATGTGGTAAACATAGCATTAAGCGTCAGTTGTAGTTAAATCCTACAGATCATAGGAGAAGGGGGTTTTGCCAAGCCTCCGGCTGAGATAATAGGCCTGTGTTGCAGGAAGCTGGGGTTTGACTCCCTTCCATCACCTGAGGCAGTTATTTACCCTCTGCACTTCATTTTTCTAATGTATGAAGTATTAACATCACAGAATAGTTTTTTAGGATTGACATATGATTCCATTTGTATAAAAAATCCAAGAAGATGGGTCCATTAGAGACTAGAAGTGGGCTGGTGGTTGTCTGTGGAGAGGAGAGTGAGTGGGCAGTGAGTGCTAATGAACAGGTTGATAAGGCATCCTGGACTTGGATTGTCCTGATGGTTAAACAACTCTGTGGGTATATGAAAACCATGCATACTGAATGACTGGATTTTGATGTATGTGAGTCAAATCTCAAAGATGCTTAAATGAGCTAATGCATAGAAGGTGTCAGCTTTTTTTTTTTTTTTTTTTTTTTGGCAAATACCTCATAAAAACAACAGGTGGCTGTATTTTAGCTTACCTTGTCAGAGACTTGGGATGGTTCTGTTCTGTGGCCTGGAGTAAGGCAGAGCATCATGGCAGAAGGTCATAGTGCCTCAGTGTTGCTCCCCTCCCGGCAGCCGGGATGTGGAGAACATGGGAAAGAGCAGAGAGGGGAAGGAGGCCAGGGACCAGATGCAATTCTCACAGTCACACTGCCATGATCCCCCACCCACCCAACATCATCAACCAGGTCCCCCACCTGTTTGCACCTGTGTTCTTCCAGTTAGAGCCCTCATGATCCATTTGATGTGATCCAAAAACTCCTCATTTGGCACATGAGTTTTGAGGGGTGTTTCAAATGTAAACCATTAAAAGGTGTTTATCACAGTGTATGCACACAGTAAAGAACAATAAATACTAGGTATTCATATTAGTATAATGCTATTTGTATTAGCAATGATTAGAAAGACTTTTGAAAAATACTATTACCTGCCAGATCTGCATGCTGGTGGCATGGTGTGCGTTGTGGTGACCGCTAGTGGGCAGCTTTGTGTGGCCTGCTTCACTTCCTCTTCCCCTGTCAGGCCCACATGACAGACACCTTTCCCCAGGATGTCCTTGCACTCAAGGTGGGGGAGGCACAGATCACCTTCCTTCTCTCAGGATCACTCCTATTTAGACCTTCAGTCCATTTGTTTTAATGGGGGGAAAAAACCTCAAAACAAAGTAATAGGAGAATAACAATAGTTAATGAATTGCATATTGTTATCTTCAAAATAGAGCACAACATATGGGTATAAAAATTTTTCTAAAATACATTAGCACAAACCTTTCTTTTCAGCGAACTAAGACAAACTAGTATAACTATTTTGTTTATTTTTAAAGGCTAGTGTTCATGTTAGGCATGAGGTACATCTCGAACTTTTTTCCAAATATGTAACATCTGGCCTAACATCATTTACTGAAGTCATTCCTTTCTCCACAGATGTAGAAGAAGTGAATCACATATACACACATAAAATTAATTGCATAAATAAAATTTAAAGCTACTCTAAATAACACACAGCTCCTTTCCACAGTTGCTGAAGCTCCCACATTGCTCATTTATTTAGGGAAAAGCACTGAGTAGTCCCTAAGAAAATGTTAGTGTTACCTTGGTAAGCTGATGGAGTAAGCCACAGTAGTAGCCATTACTGTCTTAAGACTTAGGTCATATTTCAGTTTATCTAATTTAAGAGAATGCAGGTTGCCTCTTCTGTGCATTGTGGTTGAAAGAACATTTGAGATTCAGAAAAGATCCAAGCAGAGTTGCTGCAGGGCGGGAAAGGAAAGCAGACCATTTTGTGCGATGTGACCAACCCATTGTACCCTGGTCAGGGGAGGGGCAGAGAGAAGTGTTAGGGTATGGCCGAGAACACAAGAATCATTGACAGGGCAAACACACAAAGAGCACAAAAATCAGCCTTCATTTATTTTGCAGGTTTGTCATTATTGAAGAGTTTTTCGGTTTTGTATTTAAGTTGCCCAGGCTGGTCTGGAACTTGCTGTCTTCCTGCCTCACCCTCCTGAGTGCTGGAATTACAGTTGTGGACCACTATGCCCAGTGAGAGTTTTAAATTGTAGTTCCAGTAGCACCCTGCAGTCGGATTTGATGAGGAGGAGGAAGAGGATAAGCTTGTCTTCTTGTGTGAAGAAACTCAGAGTAACAACTCCCTGCTTGTCAATAAGAAAAGGCCCTGCTTCAATCTTACCTTCTCCTCAGCCAATCTAGGCCATTGGCTAAGAGGTGGAGAATATTACATTCTCTTTGTTAATTTACTTAGAACTACTGCAGAATAAACTAGTCAAACTAAATAGAAAATCCAGACCAGGCATGGGAGATAGCATTGTTTTCAAATTTTAAAAAGCATTTAGTTAAATGGTAATAAATGAAATGGATTTTAGTTTTCATGAATTATATTTCTGCGGGAAGTCATTAACTCCTTTCATTACAAATAGCAAGGATATATATTGCAGAACTTTCTTTTCTCATCCTAATAAACATGCAATTTTTAAGACTCTGTTCTTAAGGTTTAATCCTGGTCACAGGAAAAAAACTACCCTTGGAAGTAAAAGAGGTTAAAAAAACCACTGCTTTACCTGTGTGTGATGGTGCACTCAGGAGGTTGAAGTAGGAGGATTGCCATGAGTTCAAGGCCAGCCTGGGGTATATGGTGAACTTAAGGCCAGCCTGAAATACACAATGAGACCCTGTCTCAAAAGCAAAACAAAATAAAACACTGCTTTGAGATACAATAGGTACCATTGGTTTTTTTCTGTTTTTAACTTAGGGAGTTCTCTTTTGTTTTATTTTCTGGGAGAAGGCAAGCAAGGAAGAAATGGGGTAGAGGGCAATAGATGGATGTATTGCTTGCATGCTGGAGGTATTGAGAGTTAATTTCTATCCTCCCTGGCAAAGATACATTTCTTTTCAGATTGATACTGATTGCCCCGTTTTGCTCACACCTGTGTATTTTGCATATTATAATTGTATCAAGAGAACTCTAATGGGGGGAGGACTGTTCTTTGCTATGACTTGTACATGAGTTATATCTAGATGTTCCCCAAAGCCTCATGCACTCACAGGGACTTTTTAGCAGTGGCTGAATCTAATGCAATAACTAAATTAGTCCTGATTGATTTAGCATAGTTCTGGGTGTGGGTAATGGGTAGGCCCATCCTAGATGTGGCTGGCACCATCCAATAGGCTTGCAGCCTGGATGGGATAAAAGACAAAGGAAGGCCTACTGCTGCTGCTGCTTTTCTGCCTTTTTTTGCCATGAACTGTTTCTCCTTTAAGATGCTTGTCTGCCATGCCGCCCCACCTTGGAGCCAGCCAATGATGGACTGAAACTTCTACAGTCTGTGAACTAAAATAAACCTTTCCTCCTTTAAATTGTGGGTATCAAGATACTTTTCTTAGCAACAGTAAAAGTAACTCAGAACACCCCAAAATGAATAATAAGCCCAACGTTTATCCTTTCACCTCATTCACAGCCCTGTTTGACCCCTAAGGATTCAAGCCATGCTCAGAAGCCCGTTGATAGTAATATTCCTCATGCTGTTGTTCTTCATGATTTTCCAGCAGGTAAGGACATAAATAATTTGATGGAGCCTTAGAGTCCAGGAGCAAGACATCCTTCTGGAGTTAATTTCCTTCTTCTCTATGCTCATAAATCCTAGACTGGAGATGGCACCTGCTCCAGTGCTCTGCATTTAGAAAAGGGCACTGCACCCAACCATTCCAGAGAGCTCGTTTACATACCCTTGCCTGTGGGAGGAGGGTTACAGTCAGGGTCTGCAATGGAAACAATTTAATACAGGACCCAGAATTTATAGAATTATTTTATAATAGTCACCCAAAGAGTGAAATACAAAAAAAAAAAAAAAGTGCAGGAAAGCTATCCACACACAAAAGTCCCAAAGAATCCAGCTGAGGACCTAGTTCCCATGCAGTGTCCTGCATGAGTACAGCTGAAGACCTAGATAGAACCCATGACAGTACTCTGCCCCGCCCCGAGTCCAGCTGGAGGTCTAGAGCCCAAGATAACGTCTCACACAAGTCTGTCTCATGGATCTACACTGGGAAAGCCCAAAGGTCAGTGGTGGAAGCTAGAAAGTCTGTTCCAGTGGGATGTAGGATCTATGCCAGTAGGCTGAGGGTTCTTCACTGGAGCCAGAAAACAACGTAAAGACCAGAGCCCCCCCAAAAGTACCACAGTCCTACTCAGTGACAGTGAGGTCTCCAGCTCCTCCCAACAATGAGAACAACTAAGTTTACATCAGGAAGCCAGAGTGACTAATTTCTCCTAGGGATTTAACTGCACCCATCTTCCCCTCTGGAGCCAGGAAGCGATGCTCAAAGTAAGGACCAGACTCCCCCCAAGTGAACCACAGCCATTCTCAGCGAGAAGGTCCAGAGCTCCTCTGATGATAACAGCTGAGATCATATCAGGAAAGATGCTTGACAAGCTCGTTTGAGAGAACCAACATCAACAGGAAATCCCATGGCAACACCTCTTCCTCTCTAGTTCTCCTTTTAATGTTGTTGATAGTGATCTGCAGGTGGGCCCTCCACATGCTGATTCAGTTCAGCTGGGATCTACCACACAAAGATATACCAGCAAATTAACTTTTTAACTCTTTCAAAATACCGACTACTAACTATTTGTAATAAAATTTCAATCTGGTTGAATAAGTGAAGTTCTTTTGTCTTAACTTGTATTATCCATACTCACTATGAAATCAAAATGCTTAATTTTAGTAACCACTTTTTTACATACCATTCATATCCAATTCTACAAATAAACTTTTTTTTTTTTCCTTCAGGGCTGGAGATTAAACCCAGAGGCTTACACATGCTAGGCAAGTGCTCTATTACTGAGATACATCACCGACCCTGAAATAAACTCTTGATTTATTTATTTTATCCACTCAGTAAACTGTATTTTAGTGTGGATAAATTTACTTGCTAAAGAGCTATAGTACTCCCTTAGTTAATATTTGAAGTTGAAATAATTTCAAGCATGAATGAGAGTAATGATAACATGTCTATAGAGCCCTCGCATTGCTCAATGTATATTCAATAAGAGATTTATATTGGTACCAGTAGAAATCATTGACCAACACAATGGCTTTTAAAAAAATTATTTCTCAGCGGGGCATGGTGGCTCACACCTGTAATCCCAGCACCCAGGAGGATCATTGCGAATTCGAGACCAGCCTGGGCTACAAAGTGAGCTTAAGGCCAGCCTGAACTGCATACCAAGACCCCGTCTCAAAAAAAAAAAAAAATTATTTCTCATTTGTCAATGCATAGTACATATAGCTAATTTGATCCTAGGAGAGGGAGCTCATAATGTCAAAATTCAAAACATAATTTTCTTTAAAAAGGTAAGTCTAGGGGCTGGGGATTTAGCTCAGTGGCATAAGCACCTGCCTGGCAGTGTACAGTCATAAGTTCAATCCCTCATACCAAAAAAAAAAAAAAAAAAAAAAAAAGGTAAATTTGACTGGGATAATCTGTTTCGTAATCAATGGAACATACTACCTTAGTGGACAGAACTAAATATTACCTTGTTGTCTACTTTATTCAAATCTGCAACAAAGATAACTTACCATATGTAACTATACTGTGATATTACAGAGCAAGTTGACGATTTGAACCTCACATCTGGAGAAATTGTTTATCTTCTTGAAAAAATAGATAAAGACTGGTACAGAGGGAAATACAGAAACCAGACTGGTGTGTTTCCTGCCAACTACGTGAAAGTAATTGTAAGTGGTTTTGGCTTGCTTTGGTTGGTCATATGTTGTGTGGTTCCAGTGTTACTTACTGTTGGAAAAAATAGCTAGAATCCTAGATTCATTCTATTTTTAATTATTTAAGTTTATTGACACATTTTAAATATACATAATGATCACTTTCATCATAAGGACTTTGTACCTGTATATGACTTAGCTCAATTTGATTTTTCCCCTCATTCTTGAATTCTGGTTTTCTTTCTTTCATTGATTCATTTGGAGTTTAGAAAATTCAAAAATAAAGGCTTTGTTTAACTAGATAATGATTAATCATTGTGCTGTAATGTCTAAATGCTGTCTGGATTATAAAGTAAAGCGTCACCACAGGTCAGTGGGTGAATCAGATACTCTTAGAGGTTTGCTAAACACGTAAGGATTTATTTTAATTCTTTGACACATTTAATGAACATGAGTGAAGTGGTGCTAGATGGTCCTGAAGAGAATGTTCTCTAAAGTCATGGTACTACTTTCTGTCTTCTTTTTTTTTTTTCTTTTGGTGCTGGGGATTGAACTCATGACCTTCTGCTTGCCAGGCAGGCACTTGTACCACTGAGCTAAAGCCCCAGCCCCATAGTACCACTTTCTCATTTTCTTTGCAGTGCATTTTATTTTTGCTTTCTGTGTAGTCTCTCTCACTGTTAATCTACATTTTTCAAAACGAACTCAATTTGGGAATACAAAACTTATTTTTATTTAAAGTAGTGGTCCATTGGTAGTTTTCCATGTAATTTCAAATCTGATTGAAAAAATATGTATATATATTAAAAGCATCAGGAATTTGCTCTGTCCAAGGGGCTGGAGTAGGAGGATACAGTGAGACTGCCCTCGGACTTCCAGACTTCCGTGTTAGTGGAAAGACTGTGACTCGGTCCTGAATAGAACTTACCAATACTGTGAAGCACTGGCAGAGCTAGCTTACACAGTTAGCATTAACTGCTTATTTGAGGGAAAAAAGCAAATAGTTTTCCATTGCATCAAAAATTTAGAAAACAAGTACAAGAAAATTTGTATTTTCAAATAGAAATGAGTTTGAGTGTCTTGGATAATGAAATGTAGGTCTTAAAAATTATTTGGTATATATATATGGCCTGATTCTTTGGAGAAATTCAACCACATTCTCTAAATTAATATTAAGAATAATGTTGGGGCTGGGGATTTAGCTCAGCAGCATAAGCGCCTGCTTTGCAAGCAGACAGTCGTGAGTTCAATCCCCAGTACCGATAAAAAGGAAAAAGACAAAAAAAAGAATAATGTTAACTTTAGCATTCTTCCTCATTTTTCTTCTGCCCAATGTAGCAGCAGTTTTAAAAGCACAATTACCACACTGAAGTCAATCACACTGAATCTGCCACATTATTGGTATAAATGTTATTTCTAAGCCCACAAGTTTAAAAAATTGTTTTAAGACTTCAAACTTGCAGAATTCATTAAGAGGGACTCTGATTTATTTAATATAAACCTCATAACCTTAAGTAGTTTCAGACTGCATGCACATGGCCAGGAATTTTATTACAGCCCTACTTTACTGAGCTTTGTGAATAAAGTGTGATATAAAGTCCTGCCAGTTAGTAGATACTTATTTAGTATGAATTCTTTTCTCTATTCCTTGTTCCTGAAGTTGCAGAAAGAAGCCATAAATTTGGTCAAATTGTTTTATTTAGGGATTAAGAGGAATTGCAGGGCCAGGCATAGTGGCACATGCCTGTAAATCCAGCACTCAGGAAGCTGAGGCAGAAACATCATTGCAAGTTTGAGACCAGCCTGAGCTACAAAGTGAGCTCCAGTCCAGTCCAGAACTGCATGGCAAGACCCTGTCTCAAAAAGACCAAAAATAAAAAAGTATTGCAGAATCCTGCCATTTCTTTGAATTGTTGCAGCAGCACTGATGTGTGACAACACTAATGCCTGATGACTGGTTTCTACCCTGTTGTTTATTCTGTTTTGTGTTTTGAGACTGGGTCTTGCTATGTAGTCCGAGTTGGGTCTGAACTCAGGATCCTCCTGCCTCTCAGCTTCCTGAGTGCTGGGATTACAGACACATACCTCTATTCCCAGTTTGATTTCTACTTTGAATTTTTCAGCTGAAGTTTTCACCTTGGAAATCATAGGATAGAGAAAAACACCCAGGGTAGAATGAAATGATATTAATACACTTATTTCAGCTTATAAGAGGGCTACCTTGAGTGTTGGTTCAGTACCCAAATGCAGGATTTCTTACTGTTTAGCACCTATCATATTAATAGGTTTAACCCTTAGCTTAACTGATTGATTTCAGTCATGCATTTCCTAATTATTAAAGTGTATGTGTGTGTATAGTTATTACTATAGTTTTGTCTTTTATTAGGTTGATATTCCAGAAAGAGGAAGAGGGAAAAGAGAATCTGTTTCATCTCGTTGTGTTAATGAGTAAGTTTTATTTTTCTTTTACACAGAATGCAAAGGAAGCAAGCAGGTAGTTCATAAAGAATACTAAGCTTAAAACTTCCAACGTGTGAGATAACTCAGATCTTCAGTGTCTTTTTATTTTGTTTGTCTTTTGTTTGTTGGTGGGAAAGAGTCATTCCTTTTCTTTCTATCTTTTTTGGTTTTTTTTTTTTTCTTTTAATTGAAACAGGGTCTCACTATATAGTTCAGGCTGGCCTTTCACTCACTATGAAGCTCAACCTGGCCTCAAATTTATGGCAAACCTCTTGCCTCAGCCTCCCAAATGATAGTATTACAGGTGTGTACCACTATGCCCAGCTAGAATGTTTATGTGTTTGTTTGTTTGGGGGCAGTACTGGGGGTTGTACCCAGAGCCTTCACACTAAGGTACATCCCCAGTCTTTTTTTTTCAAGACAGATTCTCACTGTTATCCTAGTAGAATTTACACTTTCCATCCTACTGGCACAGCCTACCAAAACACAAGGATTATAGGCATATAGTGCCAAGCCTGGCTTCTCAGCACCTTTTTTTTTTTTTTGGTACTGGGTATCGAACTCACAACCTCGTGCTTGCCAGGCAGGTGCTTATGCCACTGAGCTATATCCCCAGCCCCTCCGTGCCTTTTTAATTATGAAGAAAGCTTCATTGTTTAATAGTGATAGTGAATAAACTGCCGATGAAACTCAGCTTACTGATAGAAGCCAACCTAGGCAGTTCTCTGTGCAGGCCTTGGAGAGAGTAGAATCTGCCAGTGTGTTCTGCAGCCTGGCCTCAGCCCAAACCAAGCCAGTTTTGTCCCCAGTGTATTTTAGTTCAACCTTTTAGTGTTTTATCTGCCAACAGATTTTTAGAAGGTTCAACTATTTTTGTCAAACAAAATAAATTTCATAGAAATGTGAACCCTATAGTAGATGGCACAGAGGAGTCAGTAGTGGAGCCTGGCATTAATGAGGCTCCAACACCGCAAAACAAAAACCTGCTAGACATTTTTTATTGTTTTCTAAAGAGGAACTAGGAGCAGTGAAGGAAGCATTAAATTGAAGGAATCTCCTCATGTGTCTGAAGACCTTTGCACAAATTTATATACCTTTTTATGCATCATTGTAACTCCTATGATTTAAAGCCTATCCACAATGCAACTTTATATTGTAGTTAAATGAGGAAGTTAATAGGATTCATTACCTGGGGAAGCCTGTAAACCTGTCTAGGAATAGGTCAGACAGAAGGAGATGCTCCCAGGAGACTTGAGAAAATAAATGCAAAGGTTATCTCCAGTGAGAAAACTGACACCATAGCAGTTGAATTGTATTTTGGGTTCAGTTTTGCTCCCGTTTTTAAGCAGCATGTACCATGTCAGCATAATGAATTCAAAGTGGGCCTGAGCAGCCACTGACCCATTGACCTAACTTAAACCAGGATATGATTGGGTCTGGGACCAACTTCGTCTCTTCAGTCAGTTGTTTTGTCTCTGGCTTCTTGCTATTGAGACTTGCTTTGTGAAGTCTCAAAAGTTTGGTATTAAATCATATCTTCTAGAAATAGAATTTCATCTCTGCTTTTATATTCAGTCAAAATTGTAGCTCACTAAAGGATTGTTCCAAGAGTCAGAAGCAATGCTGTTTTGTATTGTGTTGTATCTTGTGTTTTGTTTTTTGTGTGTGTGAAATGGTATCACTGTGTATCCCAGACTGGCCTTGCACTCCCTGCATCCTCCTTCCTCAGCCTCCCAAATGCTAGGATTATAGGCATGTGCTACTACATCCAGCAGAAGCAAAGCCTTTTTTATTAAAGAAGATCCTGAAATCAAACCTGGGTGTGGTGGCCCATGCCTGTAATCCCACCTCTGGGGAGACTGAGGCAGGAGGATCACCATAAATTTGAGGCCAGCCTAAGATACATAGTGAGTTCATAAAGGGGTATGGGGAGGGATCATTTTGTAAAGCAAAAGAGTTAGGTAGAAGATTTTGTGCTTTGACCAGCAAGTTTCTGTTTCCATGCTGCCTTCTCCTCTTGGATAAAGCCATTTTCCTACACTTCTGGCTCACTGGTTGGTGCAGCACATACTGTGCCTCTCCTCTGCAAAGCTGAGTCCCTAGTGGCTGCCCTGATGCTTGGTTGGAGGAGGTTGCTGTCAGCTCTCCTAAACCAATGTGCTTGTGACTGAAAGTGTTCAGAGTGGCCCCTGGACACAAATCCATAGCATCTGGAGAGATTTGGTAAATCTCCAAAGGAAAGTAAACAGGATTGAAAGAAGTGACAGTGTGGGCTGGCCAAGGTTGTGTGCTCTGTGCCCTTGAGCTTTTCTCAGGGAATGGGTCACTTAAAAAGAAAGCCCTGTCATTTACACGTGTCACTCCTTTGTGGGAAATTTTTATATTATCCAAGTATACCTTGTTTCATTGTACACTCAGAAAAAAATATTTATTGAAAGACCAGAGGAAGGTTTTAAAACATTTTTAAAAATTAGTACTAGGAAGCACTCATTCTATTTTATGGAGTGAAGTGTTACTAAAGTTTTTTATTGTATGTGTGTATGTATGTCTTTTTGGATATCAGGAATTGAACTGAGAACCTCACACTTGCCTGGCAGGCATTACTCCAGTGAGCTGTATCCCTGCCCCAGTGTTGCCAAACTTGGGAACTGAAAATAAAGCCAATTAAAATGGTTGTGTGTGTGTGTGTGTGTGTGTGTGTGTGTGTGTGTGTGTGTGTATTCTTTAGTTTAACCATGAATATATTTTTTGTCCAGAGACCTAAGATGTGTTGCTCGGTTTGAATACATTGGAGATCAGAAGGATGAATTAAGTTTCTCAGAGGGAGAAATAATTTTGCTTAAAGAGTATGTGAATGAGGAATGGGCCAGAGGAGAACTTGGAGACAGAACTGGGATCTTTCCCCTTAACTTTGTGGAGCTTGTTGAGGATCACCCCACCTCTGGGGTGGATGTTTTAAGTGAGTATAGAGAGTATGGTTTTTGTTGTGTCTTTTTTTTTTTTTTTTTGTCTTTTTTGTCTTTTTCCTTTTTATCGGTACCAGGGATCGAACTCACAACTGCCTGCTTGCAAGGCAGGCGCTGAGCTAAATCCCTAGCCCCTTTTGTTGTGTCTTAATTAAGTAAATCAATAATATGGTGATGTTTATACTGCATAATCACATTGCTATGTTTTTTAAGGTAAAGGAAAAATTATTTCAACTGGTTACTTGTACAGGTAGTCATTACTGTGGTTCTCTTCCAAAGAGCTGGATTTGTTGTTTTGAATAATTAGCACCAGCTTCATATAAGAAATGGCAAGGCCTCCAAACAGAAAGGGGCTGTAGAGTTTAATTGATTAACTAGTGTGTCCTGGGGAGAGGGGTGCATAAGAAAGCATGGTGCAGTCAGTCTGGAACCATGCATTCACCCCACTTCACGGTCTTTTCCTCTGACACTATGACTTTTCTGTTTTAATGTAGGCACAAAGGTACCACTGAAAACTAAAAAAGAGGATTCTGACTCAGATTCTCAGGTAGGCTGCTTGGGTAGATAACTGTAGAGACAGCTAGGTTTAAACTCTGGGAAGAATATTAAAATTATACCAAAAGATATTTGGAATGTTCAGAAATATATTAAGAAGTAGGGAGAAAAACTGCTTATGCCGTTGTGAAGCTAGGCGGTGGTAGACTTGGGTCCAGAACCTTTGCTTACTGGACCCAAAGCCTTTGTTCTTACTGCTATCCTCCACTACCTAATTGGACTTTTCCCCTTTTTTTTAATTCATGCTGGGCAGTGGGCCCTTCAGCCCCTGCTGGAGCTTCTTTAGTGTCGGTTCCCATTCCACGTGGCAGAGACGCCTCTCAGAGAGCAGCCCTTCCTCTGATATATTCTGGATGCAAGCGTTCTTACTGCAGCGGCGCTCCATTTGAGCAGCCCACCACACGTGGGTGGTAATCCTCACTGTCCCTCATAAAATTGAAAGTGTGAATTTTTTTAAAAGTGTGAATTATTAAAGTCTAAACTAAGAAATCTGATTATCTCTGAATCAAGATGTGGGAATTAACAGACTGTCCTCTGATCCTCCCCAATTTACATGAATAGCCTCCCTGAAAATTACTTTGTCAGAATTTTTTCAGTGTCATAAATGCTGTGTGTATTTGATGCTTTAAAAAATTTTTAATTCATATCATAGAATACATGAAAGAAAGTTTTTGGTTAAGCATTATATTTATATATCCCTTAAAAACAACAAGGCTACTAATTATGTTACACTTATCATCTAAACTTACATTTTAAGGAAAAAGTTATTGGAAACGTATTCCTGAAACTTGATAGCGACATAAAGTACTAGGTAATTTAAAGAAGAATTAAGGCTTTGAAATCTTGTAACTCCCTAGCTAGATATTTCTAAAGCTTTGTACAGCTCAGAAGAAAACCTCATTTCTTACCAGACTGTGACCTCGTAACAGGATAACAGCCTTTCTGGAGAATGGTGCAAAGCTCTTCACAGCTTCACAGCCGAGACCAGTGATGACTTATCCTTCAGGAGGGGAGACCGGATCCTGATCCTTGAGCGGCTGGACTCCGACTGGTACCGTGGCCGACTGCATGACAGGGAGGGGACCTTCCCAGCGGTGTTTGTGCAGCCCTGCCCAGGTAGGACAGCCCTGGGGCACAGCTTCTAACCAGGAAGGGAGCCTAGCATCTCTCTTCTTTCAGCTACACACAGCTTGTGCTCCTGCATTAGAAGGAACCAATTCATAAAGTTAGGCAGGGCCAGGGATTTTGCTCAGTGGTGCTGCACCTGCCTGGCAAGCGCAATGTCCTCAGTTAATTCCTGGTACCCAAAAAAATATGTAACATTAGGCAAACTTCATTCATATACTACTTCCTTAGAGTTACGGAAAGAACAGTAAAATACCTTAACTAAATAACAGCCAATTTTGTCTACTGTTTTTGTATCTTATGCTTTGTTAAAGTTACAGAAAGAAAAGTAAAATACCCTCACTAAATTTTTATATCTAAATTTTTGATACTAAATTTTGTATTTTATTTTCTACTAAGAGAATATCCTTATTTCACAAGTTAAATAATCTCAAAATTAAAAATGATGCTCTGAGGGTGATAAGGGGTTTCTTAAAATACTTGATCAGTGATATACTTCTTTCAATATATTTGGATTTTGGTGTCTTTACAGCTGAGGTGAAAAAGATGTCTGCCATAACCCTGAAAGGGAGAAAGGCCAAAGCCTTGTATGATTTCCACGGGGAGAATGAAGATGAGCTCTCCTTCAAGGTCAGAACATGCATCTTCTCATATCCATATTAAGCACTAGAAATTTTTAAATGTCTCCGTGGGCGGGAAGAATATGTGGGTGAAATATCAGTTTTTACCTCAGAATGAAGAGACCTCAAACCCTAATTGTAAGGCAAGGCAGTGGGAAAAGTGAATGAGGCAAACAGGGCTGATATGTTACATGACCAGCCAGGCATTTAGGAACTCCAAGACACCCTTGGCTTAACAGTCCACAGTCCTCGGAGTAATTTCTTGTTCCTTAGCTTTGTACCCGGTGATGTGCGAGCCTTGGTTTCCCAGGAATCTGGGCATTCTCACCCTGATAAGAGGTGATACTTCCATAGCCCTCACTGGGTGCCGCTGCTGTTTGCCAGTGGAGCACTAAGCCTCCTAAGATTTATATTCTCATCCACAAAAGCACTGACAAGGCCGGGTATTATCCCAGATTCAAGAGAGTGAGCAGGAAGATCAACATGAGTTCAAGGCCAGTCTGGGCTACATAGCAAGACCTGTCTGAAAAAGCACTGACCAGAGGGACCATTAGGGAAATAGTCCTCAAAGGTTGAACTACTTTACAAGGTTAGGAGTTTTTTGGTTGGTTTTGTTGTTATTGTTTACCAGGGATTGAACTCACAACCATCTGTTTGCCAGGCAGGCACTTACAACCACTGGGTTTTATACCAAATCCCTGGCCCTGTATTTTTTTGTTTTTTAAGAAGTCTAACATATAATCCAAGTCTTACTGCACCAACAAAGTGCCTCCTGAGAAAGCTACCTGGTTCCATGGGTTCATCTGCAGTTGAGCCACAGCCAGAAGAGAGCATTCAGGGCACTGCTGGGGGCCTTACTGTGCCCAGGGCAGTTCAGCAGGCCTGTCTGAGACGGTGTCAGCAGGGCAGGGTGATCTGAGAGGAGCAGCTGGGGGGCCACAGCCCAGAGAAGGAGAAGGGCACTGTAGTGCTTGCTGGCCTGCAGGGTGGGGCAGGCTGAGGTGTGTCCTATCCTGAGAGCGCTCACCTTTCAGTATTAAAATGTCATTTCTGTTATGGAAAACTACAAATGATAGATAGTTCTTATACCCTAACTTTGTAGAATTAAGTCAGTAACCGTATATTCTTTTCCTGAAAGAAACAAAAAAATTCTTGATCCTTTTAACATCTGAAAGTTGGAAAGCTTTTGCCTTCATCCTTTTCAGTCTTGAGTGTCAGTGGCTGAAAACTTATTCTTCACATACACATAAAATGGTACTGCAACTGAAACATCTGAATGCAAACTTTATGGATGTTATTTTGGTCTTTCAGTTATATCTGGTTAAAAAAAAACAGAATTCTCAGGCCCTCTAGAAAGCCGGCTATCTTCACTTCCCAGACACAGACGCTAAGGTTCCTATGAAGATTTTTTGTTTTTGTTTCTGTTTTTGCATCATTGGGCCTTGAACCCAGGATCTTCACGCTGAGCGACCTCCTCATTCCTTCTTTTTTTTTTTTTTTTTTTTCTTTTTTCTTTTTTCTTTTTTCTTTTTATTGGTACCGGGGATCGAACTCACAACTGCCTGCTTGCAAGGCAGGTACTTATGCCGCTGAGCTAAATCCCCAGCCCCCCTCATCCCTTCTTAAAAAAAACTTTATTGTGAGACAGGATCTCACTAAGTCATTAAACTGCCCTGTATTCCCAATCCTTCTTCCTCAGCATCTCAAAATACTCGGGATGACAGGGATGCACCACCGCACCTTGCTTCTAAAATCTTTTTGTTAAAGGACTCTGCCCAGGTTTCAGTAGTATTGGTCATTAATATTTTATTATCCACAGAATGCCATAGGTAGAACTTCATTTTAGAAATAATGCTAGCCTCTGAAAAGTGAGCTGGTACATGGGCATGGACAGAACTAAGGAAACTAACTTGAATCATCCACTGTGTTATAATTTAGGTACGTACTTTTAACAGAAACCTGGAGTAGCTAGTTTATACATCTTAACAGAGTTAATTAGTGACATGTGATAACGTTTCCTTTCTGTTATCCATAAAGTCTAAATCTAATCCATTTTTTCCAGAGAGCAGTGTACTAGGGCTGCAGATAAAGTCTCTTTACAGATATTTTTCAGAGTAAGCAGGATCATCTTGCAGCATTATAAATCCTAAATCCAGATTGTATGGAAATGATGGGAAAACCACAAAGAACAAACCAGTAGCTGGGCACAGTGGCACACCCCTGTAATCCCAACTACTCAGAAGACCGAGGTAGGAGAATCATCTGTTGAGGGACCACAGAAACACAGTCCTTCAATGAACACAATGAGGATAAATCGGTATTCTGAGGCAGGGTGAGCCTCTTTAAGATAGGAAAAATACAAACTTGATACAGACACCAGGGACGCGTGGAATAAGCCAAATGGCAGAGGAGAAATACCAGGATGTGTGAGAAACCATACAAAGCACATTATCCTCAGGACTGCGATCAAAAGCAAGTGTCATGAGAGCCTGTCACAGTAAATAGGTCCACATAGCCCAAGAGACAGGAATACAAGTCCTGTACTCACACAAGTCTTGAAGCCTGGTTATACCACTCACTATACATGGAGCACTGGCAAAGTTAAGAAATCAGTTTCCTTTTCTTTAAGAGTTCTAAATGCATCCCTGAAATGAGGGTGGAAACAGTAACACCCACTAGGACTGCGGTGCTGTTGAATGTGAAGTGCATGAAGTAGGATGCCACACGTCAAGGCATCCACGCCTCGCTCAGCCATTGCAAGATGTCCTTACTGATGCCCTGAAGGTGGTCAGCGCCGCACTCTCGCCTCCCTGCCAGTCTGCCTTCCTGCCTAGAAAGAGGCCTTTACGCACTGTTTCCTTAGCTCTGTCTGGCACAAAATAAGTGCTCAGTAAATACCTGTTAGAGGAAAGAGAGACAGTGTGTGGGGCAGGGCTGCCATCGTTATTTATTAAAAGGGGAGTTTAGGAGTCATAAATTTGGAAAGTATCAACTATAAGCAGGAAAATAAAATGCAGCAAAACTGACAGTCATGATTGTTTCTTTGTTTGCTGGTACTGGGAATTGAACTCAGGGCCTTCACAATGAGCTATATACCCAGTCCTCTTTTTTTTCTTTTCTTTTTTTTTTTAATTTTAAGATGGCCATGCTGGGCTATTTGGGATCCTCCTGTCTCAGCCTCCCAGAATGCCGGGACTATAGGTGTGCCCAGTGGGAATGGGGTTGAAAAAGAGAAGCATACAAGCAAATGGTATCATCAGGTTTGGATATTCTTGCTGGTATACATTGGTTCACAAACTTAATTCTTTCCAGACTCTGGTCACAAACAGAACTGGATAAGAACTGAATGAAATTTCCCCATAAGGCCAACAGTGAATCTACTCATTGAAATTTGAGTCTGTTTTCTTCTAGTTGGGTTTGCAACCAGAATCAGTTTGTGAACCAAGGTACCACTATGTCATTTAATTCTCTCTGCAACTCATGATAAATGAGTTATTTACAGAGAAGGGTATTCACACTGTTCCAGGTAGGTTTGTCACCATGCTTATAATACTCAACAGAAACCAATAATTATTCCCAACTCCTGTCTTCCCACAGGCTGGAGATACAATATCAGAGCTGGAATCTGTAGATGACGACTGGATGAGTGGAGAGCTAATGGGAAAATCTGGGATATTTCCCAAAAACTACATTCAGTTCCTGCAAGTCAGCTAAAGGTGAAGCTTGACTGTTCCTTGGCACAAGAACTCACTTGATCAACTCTGACTATCAGATATGTTTTTGCACTATTTTTTAAAACAGAAATATATAAGGTATACATGGTACAGTAGAATTTTCTGAAAGCAGAAAACTTGTAGATTTTGTGATCTGCTTTCGCTCACAGAAGAAAGGTGCACATGGAAAGCCATGAGCTAGGATCTGCCATGGGAGGTGTCTGGCAGGCTTAGGGAGCTGAGAGGCCTGGCCCTGGGGAGGAGAGGGCTTCGCGGCAGCCTGGGGAGGCTCACAAACAGAAACTGTACATGGATGTCTGTTTTAATCAGCTCAAGTGAATTAACCACGGTTTTTCATTTTTTACATTAGTTTAAAAAGAAGCTATTTGACATTCTACATGCTGTAACTATCAGACATGTTTGGTAATCTAAATTTCATTTTTGATGCTCAGATTAATTCTAACAGCTTGAGCACATTAGCCTTAGTGCCAGCACAGATCCTCGCTTTGGGAGGGTAGTAGATGAAGCAGTGGGAGCGTCTGAAAGCATGTGGTGAAATCTGCTGACACTTGCCAGCTGCTCCTGTCTTACTGTTCGCTAGTCACCCGAGGATTTGAAGGGGTCAGACTTCAACATACCAGCCAGGCATGATGGCACACACCTATAATCCCAGTAATTGGGAGGCTGAGACAGGAGGATTGTTGCAAGTTTTGAAACCAGCCTGAACTACATAGCAAGACCCTGTCTCCAAAAGAAAAAAAAAAATGTGTTGTATCTCGCTTAGTGGAAACAACCAAAACCATCCCTGAAATGCCTTGCTAATACAACTAACTCTTCCACATATGTGCTGTACTTCTTTCTTTCCTCAGTGTATACTTCACATTAACAGCACATTTTCTGACCAATCATTCCTTTGACGATTACTGGTACCCAAAGGAAAATTCATTTTCTTTGCATTACCCCAGTAATATATAAGCATTATGTCTTGTTAGAGTAGTATACTGTAAATTATATATAATATCATAGAATACAAAGGAACTGTTAAAACAGTTAAGTTGGGAAACTGTTAAGAAAGCTCCTTTCTTTGCAGTGTAATTAGAGAGGAAAATAGTTGAAGAGGACCAATGACTGGTACTTTCCCCAGCTCGTGTCTGCATGATTTTTAGAGTAAACAAAAACTACTTTCCTGCCATCCATTGTTACACATTCCAAGCTTAAGATAAAGGTGGTTCTTTGATTGACTAAATCAATTACAGTTTATGGGCTCAAGCCAAAAAGGTTGAAGACAATCTTCCACACAGATCAATGGAATGAAATTTCATTGGAATTGTCAGATATGTAGCCAACAATGTTCATGACTTTCTTCTGTTTTCAAGAAGAGTTTCATATGCTGGACCATTTTTTTTAGCTTTTGTTGTTTTTCCCCCATCATCCATAAAGCTGGGCAAAAAGTGATTCTAGCATTAGTAAACACCATGCGGAGTTCTGTAAGGAAGCAGTACTCTGTCTCTCCGTGACTGAAGCTCATCTCCAGGTGTGTGGCTGCACTGGAGCTGTGTTGGCTGTGTTTGAGTGAAGAAAAGAGTATAAAGAAAGTCCTTGTCAAATTTCTCTCAAAAGTAACTTCGTGAGAATTGGATGAGTTAAAGCATTATCCAAACCAAATGCCCATTTGCCGCAGGTTGTACATCAACAGGAAGTGGCAAAAGTATGGAACTTATATCTTTGCCTGTGTAGTTGTAACATCCTATATTGAAGATTCTGAAAACCTGTCTTTACTAGAGAAAAATCCCTCTTAAATGTTGGCCTTCTGTAAGCAGAATAAGTGCAATAGTTATAAATCTATTCGACACTTAACTGAACCAAACTTCAAGTCCCTTTCTGAGACTAGACTGAATTTTTTTGAGTGTAGGGCTGGTATCTTTCATGCCTTTATATCTCCAGTCCTCTGTGCTATACTAGATGGGTGGATAGGTGGGTGGATGACTTCACGTTTAGCAATACTTGCTTGGATTTAATCAATGTTATTCCTCATTAATTTGTTGACAAAGGCCTATATTGAAATAAAATTCAGTTACCATATTGTTTCACTCTGTCACGCTGATTTTTGGTTGTCATTTATTTTCAGCTGGTAGAAAGCACAAACGTAGCCAGTGGGCTTTGATAGGTACTTATTTGTGTATTAAGTTTGAGAGAAGACACTAGGTTTAAAGAGAAACATAATTTTAAGTCCATTGAAGCTCTTAGATAAGAAAGTCATTGTATTTCCTTTGAAGAATTACACGTGAAAATTGATGATGTTCATCACAGCCTTCTTAAATTGTATCTCTCTGAATCTTTTTTACTTGTTAAAACTGGAGACACCATCATTAGATGGTATGTATTATTAGGACACTAATGTATATTTCTTTAAAAGGTGTCCTTTATATGCTGGAGAGGTAATGTAATATATCTGCTATTGTGCTCATAGAAATCACAAGTCTGGAAATCAGACTGCAACGTACAGAGTGAGAGAAATCAATATATTTATCAATTTATTAGAATTAACATTTGAAAAAACACTTTTCCTTAAAGTTATAAATCAGCAGTTTTGTTTTTGTTTTTTATTTTTTGGGTTTTTTTTTTGGTTTTTTTCGTTTTTGTCAGTACCAGGGATTGAACTCACAACTGCCTGCTTTGCAAGGCAGGTGCTTGTGCCGCTGAGCTAAATCCCCAGCCCCTAAATCAGCAGTTTTAACAGTCATTGGTCAGCTCTTACTCAGTGTCTTGCACTTAGACATATGCAGCTTACTTAGGGAAAATAATGATGAATATTTGGATCAAGTGGATCTGTGGCCGGGGATAGTGGCACAAGCATATGGGCCCAGCACTCAGGAGGCTGAGGCAGGAGGCTTGTTGCAAGTTTGAGGCCAGCCTGGGCTACATAATGAGTTCAAGGCCAGCCTGGACTAGGCAATTGTATCCTGTCTTAAAAGAAAGTTAAGTGGTACTGTTCACTTTGGTGTGGTCATTAACAATTTACTCCCTTCACTTAAAAGGCATATATACCACACAACTCATGATTCCGTACTGTTTTGAGGGCCACTGAATGATTGTTAGGCAGTGAGGATTTTTTTTCCTCCCCAGAAGTTGATAAATCATGTAACCTCTACCTTTTCCTTCATGAGGCTTAGGTGGAACACCACCACCATCTAAGGGCACCTCAGTGAACTGCAAGCTGTTTCCGCACTCCACAGAGGAGCTTTTGGATACCAGCGCTCACCCTGCCCAGCACAGCTTAGTTACTGACAAAACCTACAGAAAAACCCAGCTCTCCTGATCCTGGCACAGTACTCCACCCTTTTTTGTGCTAAAGAAATGCATTTCTCTTAACAGCTAGCCAACGATATCTCAAGGACCTGTAAAAGTTGCAATTTGTCTTACAGAGTGAAGGCTCTGAACGTTTCTCTTTCTAGACAGGGTCCCATCAGCTTCTGTGTTTCACGTGTAAGATATACACTGCTGTTGCTTAGAAATTCAGGGCACATTTGCCCACCCTGGGCTTTCTTCCTGGTAAGCAGGGGTCATAAAAGAAATCCTAATTATGTGTATACTGTTAATTGTTTATCTTTAAATATTGATTCTTTCTCTCTTTTTTAATTTTTATTTATTTATTTTTTTATTTTGAGAGGGGTACATAAATTTCCAAGCTAGATTTGAATTTGTGATCTTCCTGTCTCAACCTCCCAGAGTGCTGGGATTATAGGTGTGTATCACCATACCCAGTTTATCTAACAGAAATTGACCAATAATCTTAATATCAAAATATTGGACTATGTTTATTCATTGTTAAATAGAAAGGATAGGCTAGGTACACTGACACATGCATTTAGTTCTAGCTACTCAGGAGGCTGAAGCAGGAAGATCCTTTGGGCCCAGGAGTTCTAGGCCAGCCTGGGCAATATAGTGAGACCATTCTGTCTGATAACAAAAACTACATTTATTTCTCCAGTAGTGTTGAAGTACTTTACTGTATAGATTAATGAGTCCCCCAACAGTATTCTCCAGCCACCCAAATGGCAACAGCTGATGCTGTTACTTCCTTGACTGGGCATGATACCATAGTCCTATTATCACACCTCAGGAGCTGACACAGGAAGATCGCACACTCAAAGCCATCCTGTGCAATACAGCAATTATTACTTTCCAAAGGCTTCAGAGCATTCGGTGACCCTCTAGCCTAAGTCTGTACCAGGGAAGAAGGGTGTGCCCCTCTTTAGATGAGTGAAAATGTCGGCACTTAAAAAGTCAATGCACGGGTTTATTTGCCATTTGTATTTCTTCATCTGAGAATTGTGTGTTTATCTCAGATGCCTTTTTTTTTCCTCCTCTGAGATACTGGGAATCAAACTCCTGACCTTGCATTTTCCAAGCAGGCTTTTATGCTACTGAGCTATATCCCAGCCACCAGATGCCTGTCTTTGGATTGGCGGGGAGACTGATTTTTTTTTTTTTTTCAGTTCTTTGTATGTCCAAGATAGAAATCTTTTGTCTGAGGAACTGTTGGCAAAAATAAGAACAGATAACACTCTTAGAGTTTGATCAATTTTACATGTCTGTATCATAATCTGAGCAACTTTTTTGAAAGATAATATGCAATATAACAACCATTGTTAAATTCCTATCATCTTGTTTTGAAAAGTCTATATTATCGTTTTAGATTTTTGTCGTCTCTGTTTTTCTTTTTTTTTTTTTTTTTTTTTTTTTTTCTCTCTCTCTTTAAGAAAAGTCAAACAGTGAGTGACATGAGTCACCTACTTCTTCTGCAGGTACAGCGCACCCTGGGGGCAGATCAATGTGGAGAATGGAGAGATGTGTGCCCTCTGGGCTTTGTTAGGCCCTGAGAAGGCCCTAGTGGGCACCACAGCAAAGGGTTGGGGTGCAGTTGGAGATTGGGGCCGTGAAAGGCTGGGCCTGTGGTGCTGTCCCTTCAGCTGCCTGCTGGATGACTTGGTGTCTCTCGATCATGCTTGACTTGTTGACACAGAAGAGAGTTTTGTGACAAGAATGAGTAGCATGAGACCACATAAGAATCAGAATGGGATATGGTGGTGTACGCCTGTAATCCCAGCACTCAGGAAACGAAGGCAGGAGAATTGCCTCACATTCGAGGATAGCCTGGAATACATAGCAAGACCTTGTCTTGAAAGAAAAGAAAGAGAAACACTAAGCACTTCATAGGAGATGAGGACTAGGATCTCATCAGACTGGGACTGCAGGGGAAAACTTTACACACTGACTCTGCCCACAGAGCTGGCAGCCAGAGAGCTGGGCCAGTGTCCAGCTGCAGAGAGCGAGATCCCTCTCGGGATTTGGCAGCAAACATCACCCAACAAGCCCTCGATCAGGACACTCACAGCTAAATCTGTCACATAATCCTGGAAGCACCATCTAGGCCGCTGAGCTAAGCTCTACACCAGCCCCGCAACAGCACTGAAGAGCAGAAGCCACGCCAGGCAGCGAGTGTGTGTGCCACTCCAATCCAGGCCTGGGCGGGGCAGAGGGCCAAGTGCACTGCAGAAAGCTGCCATAGCGGACAGACCCTGGAGGGCCACAAGCCGGGTACCCAGGGCCTTGCTGAAAGGCAGGTGAGCTACCAGTGGCCCGGGCTGTACCCCTGAGTGCCCACTGTCTGAATTGAATCAAACTACACCAAATGCACAGATAATGAGTAGATCCTATGAGGTCTGACGGTTACGTATTCACATAACCGTCCATGAGTACAGAGAATGTTTCTGTCACCCTAGGAAGGTCCTTTACATCTTTCCGGCGAGTCTCCGAATCTCATCTACACACCCACACACTCACAGAGACCGGTGGTTCCGATTTCTGTTCTCATGGGTTAGTTTTGCTTGTTCTTAAACTTCATAAAAATGCAATCATCTAGTGTTTACTCTTCTGGCTTTTGCTCAGCATCAGAATGAACACAAAGTGAACACAAAACTCAGCTGTTAGAATTTTGCTGTAACTTTCAAAATTCACTCGTGTTGTCGAGTCAGTTCATTGCCTTTTACTGAGTGTTATTTCATCATACCAATACTATAGTTTATTGATTCTCCTATTAGGCTTTTTAGTGGATACAGCATTTTACTCTTTTTTTTTTTTTTAAAGCCAGTCAAATTTAGCAGTGGGGGGGGTGTACCAACTTTAGTGACACTAATATTAATAAATTCTGATAACCCACTGCCATCGGACCAGCCAGCATTTTACTCTTTGTAGATAAATAACTGGGATCATTATCTCAGATGCCAGCACAATGGTGCATCCCAGAAGTGGTACTTCTGTTCATGAACTTAGTTTGTTCTATGGTCTGGAAAAGATGGCCACATTTGTGTTTGTGCAGGAAAGATGGCTGAGGTCATATCTGTCACCTGATGCAGAGTTTGCAAACAAAAACAAAATTTTATAAATGCTTGTTTGTGAACCAAGTTGTCTGCACACAAAAGTATTTGTGAACCAAGATGCCACTGTACATGGGAGACAAAGGCAGAAGCTTTGTAGGACCCAGAATTCAGGGCCACCTGGGTGACCGTGATATCTTGTCTATTTAAACTAAAATAATAGGGGCCAGGTTTGTTTGTTTGTTTGGTACTGGGGATCGAACTCAAAACCGCGTACTTGCAAGGCAGGCCCTTTGGGCCAGGGGTTTAACTCAGTGGCATAAGTGCCTGCTTAGCAAACAAGAGGTCATGAGTTCGATCCCTGGCACCAAAAAAACCTAAAATAATATTTAGGAGATATAATCAGCATCGAACAAATCACTCATTGATGCAGCTGGATATTTGGCAAAATTACTAAAATTTGGAGATGTGATAATGGGTTGCGCTTGCTTCCTTTTAGAGTCCTGTTGGGCTGGGGATGAAGGTCAGCAGCACAGCACCTTCCTGGCAAGCTGAAGGCCTTGAGTTCAATTTCTGATACCAAAAAACAAATAGTCATGTTAGTGATCACTATAGTTTGGGGTCTGAAGTATCCCCCAATAGTGCGTGTGTTAGAGGCTCAGTTCCCAGCCTGTGGCACTCTTAGGAGCTGGTGGAACCCTTAGGGGAGTCAGGT